AGGACACGGTACGACGTCATCGGCCTGGCCGGGACGAGAAGACGCCAGCCTTTCAACGCCGTCTATCACACTGGAGAAGAACTGTTTCTCGGAACACGCGACAGTAAAGGATTCGGTGTCGTCGGCGATCTCATCAACACGAGTTCCATGAACATCGATTCATTGGAGCACCTTACAACCCGAATCCAGCATTCACAATTAAAAAGATGTGGATCAATACCGGCTTTGTCAAGCTTCGTCGTTTACGCGCCGACATTAAACTGTGATGAAGAAGAAGTCGAAGCGTTCTACATGGACTTGGAAAGGTTCTACAGAGAAGACCATACATTCTTCAAAATCACAATTGGAAATTTCAACGTCAAGATTGGACCAATGGAAACGTCTGAAGAACGTCACATCGGGACCCACGAATTAGAATGGAACGAACACGGTGAGCGACTGTCTGAGTTTATCATAGCGACCAAGACAATCCATGATAACTCGCAATTCCATAAGCCCCACCCTCAGCGCTGGACCTGGGAATCTCCCAATGGAGAGTACCATAACGAAATAGACCACATCATAGCAAATAGAAGGTTTCACCTAACCGACGTCCCTGTTGTCCCAAAATTCTAAACGAGATCAGACCATCGCCTCCATCGCGCAAGATTCTATTTTTCGCGGAAAGGAGAAAAAGCCGCTAAATTCAAAAACGGAATTCCCAGAACTACCGTAAATTGGGACTTATTGAGTTCATTAGTCGGCTGTTGGAAAGATTCCTTTGTCGATAACATCGATAAAGAATACGATCGGCTCATTCAACATCTTCACGTCGGCGCTATGAAAGCTGAGAGTTCGAAAGTCACCAAGATACGTCTGTATCCAGAAACACTGGAGCTCATACGCCAGCGCGGAATTGCACGAGCTCAAGGCAACTGCGAACTAACATACGAACTTGCAAAACAATTCGGACAAGCGATTAAAGAAGATCTTAAAGAGAGAAGAGCAGAAATAAGGGTCGAAGCTGCAGAGGCTGGGAAAAGCATTCGTAAAGCCCACCGAAGCTTCGCCATTTACAAGACCAAGACCAAGAATCATCTGGTTGCACTCCGACGCCCAGACGGAACAGTTACAGTGTCCACAAAGGCGATGGAAAAAATCATTCACAAATACTACTCAAATATCTTCGATAGCCACGTCCACCTTCCGTCATACGAAATAAAGGATGATGGATATGTTGTACCACCGGTTCTCCCTTCCGAAATCCGACATGCCATTTAGTCGGTGAAAAATCGAATAGCACCCGGTTCAGATAGGATAGGACCAGAGCACCTGATGAACCTTCCTCCAGTGCTCGTAAACACACTGGCTCGGCTCTTCAAACGTTACCTGTATGAATGGAAGGTCCCTAATCAGTGGAACACCAGCAAGACCGTGTTATTGTCCAAGAAAGGTGGCCTACACGATATCGGCAACTATCGCCCAATCTGCTTGCTGTCTGTTGTCTACAAACTTTCACTCGAGTTATCCTAAACAAGATTGACAGAACACTAGACGAACGACAGCCATATGAACAAGCAGGGGTCAATAACACGCATGGTGTGGCGGTGAATGCACTGATCCCCGGAAAGAGTACTTGCGTATTCGTTTCCGACCACGGACACCTGCGCTCCGGATTTTGCAAATATCTGGGCAGCATTTTGGTTATAAACTCAGTGTTTTTATCCTTCTACACAAATGACACATCCATCCATAGCGCTACAATGGTTTCTTTGTTTGTTCTTCACGAGGAGAACTATCACCGTTTGTCAACATTTCACTTTGTTAGCACAAGTTTTTACTGACCGTTGCCATATCCATGCAATATCCGGCTTTCTCTGTATATTTTGCAGTAATTCCCAAGACCGACTTTCCATTAACCCTGGCATTGATCAAATGATTCACTGTTTTCTTAATGAGCAGTCACAATTTTGTCATTTTACTCCTTATTCATAAAAAAGGGCGTTTCAAAAAAATGTTTGCTCATCAGGAAAACAATGAGTTATTTTATCAGTGCCGAACTTCCGACTTGTAAAGGAGTACGCTCACTAGGACGAAAGAGTGTCTTAGCTCGACAAACCCTACATTCCGTTCGCTACGGCCTAGAACGTCGTTCTGAACGTCATCGAGCGAAAACGATTGTGGTACATGCGGACTGCCTGAGGACAGCAACTGAGTACTGAACATTAAAATGCAACTACTACGGGCCTGTCTTCGGTGTAAGCAACAAATCATATATGATCAGTTGAAGAAGTGCGCGACGAAGGGACACCGTTGTTCTNAGCATTTTGGTTATAAACTCAGTGTTTTTATCCTTCTACACAAATCTAGTGACAATTTTGTAGAGAAGGATGGGGACTGGTCGCCGTGGAGTGGGGATCGAAAGCCCATATGTGTTTTGCAGACACATCCATCCATAGCGCTACAATGGTTTCTTTGTTTGTTCTTCACGAGGAGAACTATCACCGTTTGTCAACATTTCACTTTGTTAGCACAAGTTTTTACTGACCGTTGCCATATCCATGCAATATCCGGCTTTCTCTGTATATTTTGCAGTAATTCCCAAGACCGACTTTCCATTAACCCTGGCATTGATCAAATGATTCACTGTTTTCTTAATGAGCAGTCACAATTTTGTCATTTTACTCCTTATTCATAAAAAAGGGCGTTTCAAAAAAATGTTTGCTCATCAGGAAAACAATGAGTTATTTTATCAGTGCCGAACTTCCGACTTGTAAAGGAGTACGCTCACTAGGACGAAAGAGTGTCTTAGCTCGACAAACCCTACATTCCGTTCGCTACGGCCTAGAACGTCGTTCTGAACGTCATCGAGCGAAAACGATTGTGGTACATGCGGACTGCCTGAGGACAGCAACTGAGTACTGAACATTAAAATGCAACTACTACGGGCCTGTCTTCGGTGTAAGCAACAAATCATATATGATCAGTTGAAGAAGTGCGCGACGAAGGGACACCGTTGTTCTCAGTATTTGTTAGGGCACCTTCAGAGGAAAAATAGGTGAGTCAGTGTTGATTTGCAACTCTGTTAGGTCTAATGCTAAAGTAACTTTGCGAAGAAAATTCGGAGATGATTTGAGTAAATCGCATAGTCATTGCAAGTCATTGCATAGGCCAGACATGCATTCAAACCGCCGTTAAATTCGTTAAAACTTAGTGGACCTATGAACTACAATGAACGTACATGCGTTTCTTTTTAAGTACTTGCCAACATCAACTTCATTATTGAGCTCTTGTTGTCTAAAGAAAATGGTGCTATTGGTAGGGCCCCCACTTGGTGTTGTTCGCTCCTATTTAGCGTTTCACCTCCAGCTTTCTTGCGGAGTCTATCTTGAAGTTCATATAAACCACATGCGACCCTAACCAAGAATACCTTAGAAATGGGTTCAGTTGGTGAGAAAATTGAGCCCAGTTTTAATAACACCGTCAGGACGAGCTATGACTCCTGACATAGTACGTCTTGAATTTTTTGTCACATTGTTTGCCTTGCTGTTTTTTTTGGTCCTCGTTAACGGTGGTCCTATTCCTTGTTGAAGCCGTGTTATGCGATTTACTCAAATCATCTCCGAATTTTCTTCGCAAACTTACTTTAGCATTAGACCTAACAGAGTTGCAAATCAACACTGACTCACCTATTTTTCCTCTGAAGGTGCCCTAACAAATACTGAGAACAACGGTGTCCCTTCGTCGCGCACTTCTTCAACTGATCATATATGATTTGTTGCTTACACCGAAGACAGGCCCGTAGTAGTTGCATTTTAATGTTCAGTACTCAGTTGCTGTCCTCAGGCAGTCCGCATGTACCACAATCGTTTTCGCTCGATGACGTTCAGAACGACGTTCTAGGCCGTAGCGAACGGAATGTAGGGTTTGTCGAGCTAAGACACTCTTTCGTCCTAGTGAGCGTACTCCTTTACAAGTCGGAAGTTCGGCACTGATAAAATAACTCATTGTTTTCCTGATGAGCAAACATTTTTTTGAAACGCCCTTTTTTATGAATAAGGAGTAAAATGACAAAATTGTGACTGCTCATTAAGAAAACAGTGAATCATTTGATCAATGCCAGGGTTAATGGAAAGTCGGTCTTGGGAATTACTGCAAAATATACAGAGAAAGCCGGATATTGCATGGATATGGCAACGGTCAGTAAAAACTTGTGCTAACAAAGTGAAATGTTGACAAACGGTGATAGTTCTCCTCGTGAAGAACAAACAAAGAAACCATTGTAGCGCTATGGATGGATGTGTCTGCAAAACACATATGGGCTTTCGATCCCCACTCCACGGCGACCAGTCCCCATCCTTCTCTACAAAATTGTCACTAGATTTGTGTAGAAGGATAAAAACACTGAGTTTATAACCAAAATGCTGCCCAGATATTTGCAAAATCCGTAGCGCAGGTGTCCGTGGTCGGAAACGAATACGCTAGTACTCTTTCCGGGGACCAGTGCATTCACCGCCACACCATGCGTGTTATTGACCTAATGCTCATAGCGCCTACAGGCTGAGAGACAGGCGAAACGAAGGGTTCGCACGGTGTGGTGGTGTACGCGTGAACTGCCGGGAAGAATAATAGCGTGTTCGGTCCACACCATAGATATAAGCGTCTCAGAGCTTTGCAAATGTCTCAGCAACATTATGGTTATATTTCACATATTACCCAGCGATTAAAAATTAGTAGGCAGTAACTAAAAATTGACGGCACAGACTGTATATTGGTGGTCCATCGGTAGTCACTGCCCTATCTAGACCATTGCATTCGATCACTTCTACTCAATGAAATTGCACGCATGGCACATCCCTAAGGGACGCTTGAACGCTAAATGCCTTATCCTTTATATGTTACGAAAAACTAACCCGGTAGTATGTTGGCTTGCACATTAATATCCGACATGTTTCTTGCGCTAATAACTTCATGGATTTAACTTATCGCCCGTAATCTGTGAATAAATAAAGAAAATGAGGTATACCAATGCTAGCACCACCCATTTCTTGTAAGTTGTTGATTTTGAGCTATCCTTATCCTCGGTACTGACCTTATCAATCCCTGCGAAAGGTACTTTTGCCCTTACTTAACCTGAACCCATTTTCATTGATCTATCCTATCCGAGCGAAATCCGATCAGTGAGAATCGATTTACACAAGAGCGGAGAACATACTGCACCATCCAGTAGAAACACTCTCCGAGATTCCTTCAGTGATTTTGTAACTGTTCATTTGATTGACGTATGTTAGTTTCAATGACGAGTTGACATCGCATTGCTATGGACATCGCAATTTTTTCGAGAAGTACCAACGAAATAGAGCCGTAATCAACGAATCTGGAAAAATACTGAACTGTACATATATCAGATGAAAACTTAGTTCATCAAAAATCCATGGTGCGAAGGTAATTAGATCAAACAGAACGATTTTCTGATCAAAGAGACCACACCCGACGTGTATCTAAGGAGTCCCACGGATATGGAATGCGATATAACAGGTGCATTAAACAGAAGAACAAGAAAAGCATGAGCAGCATTCAAGCATTTCAAAGAAGCTACCATTCATCTAGCCAACAGGGACGAAACTCCAAGCTTACCTTCGCAACACAACGGTCTCCTCGGGGCCTCATGGCGCAGCACTGGCGTGGATCCTCAACAACGTAGAAATTTCCGCGCACAGAGCGCCTGAAGGATGTTTTCCGAAGTATATTCAATAAATCAAACATTTTGCAGGTCTCGGCAATTCTGGGACGCCAGATCTCCGAAAGCTATTCACTTTTGGGATCCACAAGAATATACGTCCAATGCGAGACATAAATGCGCTGGTCAATTGAGAAGAGTTTTTGACAGATGGAAGAAACGCTAGTGGAGCGCAAGCACTCTCCAAGAGAACTCCAAAGTTCTACGACTGACTGAACCATCCATTCCTCTGCGCGAAGTCGTTTTTCTTTCGAAGAGAAGAGAAAAGCCATAAAATACAAGAAGTAAAACCGCAAAATCATCGCAAATCAGGAATTGCTCACTTCTTTAGAAGAAAAAGTATATAATCAGCTAGAATCAGGATAATCAGCTGTTCTAAACTTCCTCATTGGAAGTCACGAAAAAAGCGGCTCTGAAGAAGGCGATACTGCCGAAACGTCAGCTAGCGTTGTATTGTATTGTGTTTTTATGGAAGTAAATGTATGCTGTTTAAAAACCTCGCGATTGCTGAACAAGAAAACGACATATTCATATTCCAATGCCGAGGTTAAGAGAAAGTCGATCCTGGAAAAAGTATATAATTAGAGAGACTATTAATAAGGAATACCAACCGCTTATTCAACATTGCGATAACGCAACTGAACTTTTAAATCCCCACAAAGAAGCGACGAGAGAAAATCATAAAGATAGGAGACCAGCAAAACACCCTGTACTTGAAGAGAAGACATAGAAAAGATACCGTAAAAAATAAAGCTTAAAAGGGTTCTCGGCGTTCATCAACCCATGAGGGATGCGCCATGCATTCGACTTAATTAATCATCGTTGGAGGGGATTGAATGTATATCTGGCCTTTACAATGACTTGTGGTGGCCTATCGATGTATCGAGCCAGTGCAGCTACCCTCCCATAGAAGTCTGGTACCAGTTTGTCGATCCAGGAGGGATAGAGGGCTCGGTGAGCCACGAGAGCGAGGATCGATCCCATGTGTGTACCGCAGGGCGTCTCCGACCACTGCCCCACACACGTCCATGCCCCAAAAAAATTGTGTAAGGAACAGCAGAAGAGAGTACGCATCGTATGTAGTCCATACATATGAAGGTTAAAAAGGAATTAAGAGCAAAATTTATTAATTCCAAGCTCACACAACAAAATATGTACAAAGTAAAGAAAACAGTTACAGGTTATATCAAGGGTAAGCCAAAATTAGTACTGCGGACCAACAAATGTTCAACATATTCAACAATTTATGTTTCTTCAATGTCACCATGAAAACTGAAGAACCTTGTTACGGTATATCACCTGTCCGCACATAGTACCGCAACTGGTCTTCCGAATTCACTACAACAAGACGACGCTTGACAGTGTGATCGCCCCCCAGTGCGAGCAGTTGCTGTTCGACTAGAATTGAAGTCCATCCGTTACGATATAAGAATTGCTGACTTTGAGCTCAATCAAAATAGCCAAAATGATACTATTCATTAGTTAAACAACGAGATGCACTTGCACATATAATATTGAACTCATAAACTAGCGAATCCGCAAAAGACCATTTAAAGAACGCACTGCTATGTCCAGGGCGGTTTGCCAGAATATGTGGAGGAATTCCGATCTGACTCGCCAGCTTAGGATCAGCTTCAAGGGCACGACGGATTTCTTCCAAACTTAGACTACGAGCAAGACGATTGCTTATTGGGCATCCATCAACCAGTGGACAATTTGTCTATAGAGAGAAGTTAGAATGAGCAGAATGGAAGAGGAAAGTTAGAATAGATAAATTAACAGATCTAACACGGACATACCGGAGGACATGGCGAAAATGGGCATATCCGAACAAGGCAGGAATACTGTACATGGGGAGTACTTTGATACCGAAATGACTCAACAATTATCTGAAAAAAAATTCCTAGACAAAGAATTCAATTTTCCTAAAAACATAAGATCTAGGAACCTTCACGCCAAATTCGGAATGCTGCGGAGGGCATACTAATCCGACAAGATCAGCTTGACATCCATCGTGAATAATGGGAAGTGGTTCGCGCTCCCATTCGTATTTAGAGTCAATAGGCTCCACTTGACATTCGCGCACTGACATATATTCAGCTGGAAACATTAACATAAAAAAGAAATGGGATGACCTATTGAAAATTGCTCTTTTCCATACTCACGTGGTATAGCATACAACGGTGCAAATGACAGTGTCAGTTTAGTTCCGACAACCACAGCTTCAACCGGTTGACCGTTATGGAAAATATCGAATGAAACCGCGTCCTTCGATGTCCTTGAAGGTTCATTTGGTCTAAAAGCTAATCTTTTTTTTTGTAACTGCTAATACTGCTGAATGGCCATGACATTCTCCTATGTATTAAAATTTATGTTACGCTAAAACCGTAGATTAAAAACTCTAACCATCTACAAACTGTTTTGATAATGCTAGCTGAGAGAAAGGCGAAACGAAGAACACACTTAGTGTGGTGGTGGACGCGTTAGCCTTTTGAAAGGGTAATAGCGCGTTCGTTCCCCACCTCAGACAACTGCGATCTGGAGTTTCGCAAATATCTTAGCATCATTGTGGTGGTATCTCTATGATACCTTGTCGTGAAAAATTGTAATAGGCAGTAAATAAAAAGTTAATGATGTTTCGCCAACAACAGATAAACAACTGTTCACGAGGTTAAAGTAACAGGGGTGATTAAATGAAGAAAACCCTCCAAATAGTTCACCTATTATGAGCTGGCGGTCCAACTGTTGATATTGTCGGCGGATTATTTAACTGTACTTTCCCAGCAGCACTTGGCACAGTCAGCGTAGTCTGTAACAGTTTATCTATAAACATCACAGTCCCCAGAAACCCAACAGAAGAAAAAGGTACAAGTTCTATAGTCGGAAATAGGCTATGTTTCTCTTTATCTGTGTTAATTTAGTGGTCAATTTTCACTGCAAAGAAATTGAACCCGACTGTATAAACACCTGACCGTAACAGTAGATGTCCGAACAGTCTTTATAGTGCTTGCTACATTCGTCAACGTTCTATGCGTAGTGGTCTGCGGTTGCTTATTGGTCGATGTCTTTGAAGTGGTTAAAGAAGAAATAGACTGTGTTGTCGTCTCTGCTTTAGGTATGGACCGTGTAGGGTTGGGTCTAAACAAAGATGAAATAATTTTGGTATACATGTCTCCAACGCAAAGGTCAAGTGAGACCTTGACTTGTCATAATAATGATACGAAAAAACCGCACTATGATAGCCACTAGAGATTGAGCTGCCACTAGTTGATTAGGCTACTGTTGCTGTTGCTGCATATCGGGAACGGTTCTTTCCACACAATACGAATATTGATGATTGTGATGCCTCAGTTGACTATCACAAGGCAGATTTTGAGCCACATTTAGAAGCATTCTCACCATTTGCCAATTAATCGAGATGTTTTCATTTTCGAAGGAACCGATTGAATTGTGAACGATTTTGAGATACTCTGATGGTGGGTGATTTTCTCCTAGATTTATATTGTGCTTTTTCCTAATAGAAGATGATGGTAAGCGTGTAAACGATTTGAATGGTGGATTCCTAACACTCTGACGCTCTGGCAGTTCACCTATGCAGATCTCTGATGCAATGACGCACACAACAGTTTTAGCCTAAACTTCCTTTTTCACCGGCATCCATGCTGTAGCAACATTCTTTCATAATATTTCTCTGAATGTGATCATTTTTCCAGTTCTTGTCTTCCTAAAATGCTATTAGGTCAGATCTTAGCGTTTCATGAAAGATTTCCACATGTACATAGCCCTCCAGGACAACAGCCTTCATTCGAATGTTCCATGGTTACAAAGTTTTGTAAAAAACCGATATTTTTGCGAAATTTTTTCTTCTTCACATTTTTCTTTCTACCCAGTAGACGTTTACGTTTATTTTATGAAAGAAAAACTCTATAATAAATAGTGATTCCCATGGCAATATTTGACAATAATGCTATTGAAGTAAGAATGGTCCTTAGATTTCGCTTAACAAATTGTTGTCATTCATCAAAAGCTCATTATCGTTTGTAGTCATTCGATAAAGATGGACTCTTATGTGGTGCTGAAGAACTTGCTTCAAAGATGAGTTGCCGAGTTGGGTGAGTGGTTCTTCTGTGGTTTCCAGATGAAGCGGATAAGTCTGCTTAAATAGTTTTGCTTTCGCAGGCAACGTTTTCATTGATGTCGCGCTCAGCTCCACTTTGGCTGTCGAGTTGATATCTGAGCTAATCGAGCCGACTGCATGCTTTTCTCTAAAATAAGTCTATTTGAGCACGAACAAAACGAACTTATACTGTGCTCAAACTGAGGTTTAACACATATTGAAACCAAACCAGAGGCTAACAGTAATTTCATAGCTTATAATTCCTTCAGTGACCAACTAATATGAATTACTATTTCAGAGATGCACGTTTCCTCCCTCAAACTGTTGTGTAGTTCCTTTGTCACGCCGCAAAGATAACTGCGGGACTGCAAAATTCAATTCCATTTGTAAATTGGCGTGGTGGAGCACCTATGGTTAAGTTCTTTACCAGGACATTTGGATGGGCCAACTTCGTGAGCCCAGCAAAAGCCAACATATTTTCTGCTCACTCGTCCATAGGCACTATTTATTTCCGCGGCAGTGAGGTTTTCGAGTATCGTGTCCTCTGGGAAATATGTCACAGGTAGCTGAATGAGGCAAAAACATGTAAGCTCATCTAGTAGATGGGCGCTTCAGAAGATGCTTCTACATTAATTTAGGATCCACACTGTGGTTCTTCTTGGCCACTAGTCGTCAACTTTTTTTGTCGCGTCCCGGGTTATCGATGCATCGAATTCAATACATATCTGGTGAATCTCGGAAACGGAATATTTTTCGGATACGCATGTCGGCTTTATGTTGTGCGTCGATTATATAAAAGAAGACTTTTTCGTCCGTGGCTCATAAAATTCTCCTCATAGCTTATGGATCAACTAATGGCGCAGAGTCATGGTATAGCAGAAGAATTGTTGAATTAAATAGTTAGTTAAGAGCTACGTGCCCATCAATTCATCTTCAGCTATTTGACATCGCTCTTTCTTCCCTCCTTTGTGGCATTTTCTTCCTTCATTAGATGCTCTAAATAGACATGGCCCAAAATCTCCACGATCAGAGAACCCCCAATATCGACATGTTCCCTTTCGTATAATACGTTTTTCATGAACTGATTTCCTTCCGATTTATAAAGAGTTCTACACTCTCTCCGCCACATTGGCCTCCATGGGAATCGAATCAATTTCAGCGGTACTTCACGAGCGTGTTCAGAAAAACAAATTTTCATAGAAATTTTCCACGAGCAACTTCGCTGTCTACTGCAATCCGATGGTGAAGATCTTTCGTGGGACTTGGCGATGTTGCATCCTCTTTTTTTAACGGTAACATGCAGATGGAAGAGCTATATTTCTGTGCTACAGCTGTGATACCTGCTAACGTGAATTCGTATGCATGACGGGTGTGCTCTTCGGTTGACAAGCGTTGATAAAATGGAGTATCTTTCGATGATATTGAACGCTTTGTAGTAGTCCACAGAGCTTAGAACAAGGAGCAGGTAATGCATCCGAGAGGCGTGTATGACTCAAATTACGATAATGGCCTGATCGGAAGAATTCTTCTCAGAAGCGTGCCTACTCAACTGATTCAGCTTTATACAAAGTCTTGCTTTGCACAACAGTACAATTTTCGTGAAAAGCTTACAGAGCATTGAACAAACAATCATAGCTGTAAAAATGTTCTCATTTACAGTTTTTGAAAACGAATATTACGCTTAGGTTATTTTTGAACTCTTTCCTTTTTAAGGATACTGTTTCAACTTGCTCCAAGTAAAGAAATAACGTGAAGAAAAGTACTCATGTAGTTCGAGTAACCTAGTTTGAAGGGAAGGTAATTCGGGGTGACATTCTCGTTCTTTCAAGTGAGTATCACACCACGTTTTTGTTCACCGCTAGGACTCGTGCAAAGAAAAATATGAGAAGATTTTTCTTCAACAAGATTTTGAAGGTTGGTACCAATGGTGGAAGCGAAATATTTGTCGTTCCTTCTTCTATAATTCACAAAAACAAGGCTTATCAATCTTGTCTGCACTTTCAAATCTCTAGAAAAACCAGAAGAAATAAACGTTCCTTGCACACACCATGATAATATGGTACCGTAGATTGTTGTTTTCGTGGACAGTTCATCCAACGTCTATTCACAGGAAACATGAAGACTTCTTAAAGACTTTTACCTCATACAGCTGTGTTTTATGTAACGATAAAGAACCCCTATAAAAATTAATGCCTGACTACAATTCAAACATAACTTAAGTTATTCCTAAGACCAACGCCATTAATCTCGGCACTGATCAATAAGTCCCTGTTCCCTTGATAAGCACACATGAGGTTGTTATTATACTAATTATTAGTAGTAGTCGAATAGTAGTTCGTTCCTCCGAAATCTGGAAAGCTCAAGTTGACTTAATCTAGTCAGGTGGATACCTCCATAACCTCGACAGAAAAGCCACGAATCCTAGATTTCAACCGTGTTGGAAACAAAACAGCTTCACATATCCCCTGGGTTTTCCGCTGAGTACTTCACGTGGAGATCAACCGCACAGAGTTAAGACGGAAGGTCTCTCTCTCTCTCTCATATCAAAATTCCTCTATAGTGTGTGAGATTAGGATTGATCGCAATACGCTCCCCGGTGCGTTTCATTTTTGGACTATTGGAATTTATCCAAAGTGCGTCGAGGTTTTTTCCACGCCGGAGTTTTGAATACGTGTGCGAGGTTGGTGACTCCTGTTTCAATTTCGCTATACAAGCCATCCTCGAACTCGTTATTCAACACGAAGAAGCACTAAATATGTATAGCTTCTCGACTCAGAAATATATGGCTTTTTTAAAAGAGTGCCTAAACTGCTCAATTTTTAGATAGTCTGGGAAGTGTTTCGCACAAATGAAAGTGTTGGCAATGGGACAACGACTGGCACTAAGACTTCCCATTGTCTATGCGCACAAAAACCCACCAGCATATGCAAAGCGAAAAAAAGAGTAGGAAGAATCCTAGAAGTTGGCGCGGCAAGTAGTCCATTTCCTATAGTTATGAAACTGTAGCTCTTCGAGATAGGTGTAGAGGAAAACATAAACTCCTAAACGACGACTCCAGCGATAATAAGGTCCTGCTAATCCTCCCTTCATTTCAAACGAAATAAGTGCAGCTAAAAAATAAAACGCCAGCAAAACGTTGCTTAAGTAGGGTCGATCTAGAGAATTCGGTTACAGTAAATGAAATACCACCGAGTACTCTAAGATGCTAGCTAGTTGGCAACACCCTATATGGCCGTCTATGTACAGTGCAAAATTGGATAATATGTTCTAGCGGTAGAGAGGGTGACTCCATGAGATCCGGTGCGGCTTAGCTGAGCTCGCTAAAAGCGCGCTGGAATGAATACATAGGCGAAACGTATAGATTACTATGCCTTCGTATAAAGGAGCACCTAGCCGGTAAACTTAAAACTAAACCAAATTACTTCACTAGGCGTACATAGGACACAGAGACATAACGGGGAAGATTTTGAAGTAGAAGTCGGTCAGCATTCTCGCGCAGAAATCTAAAACTTCAGCGCGCAAAACCTTCGAAGTTCTTTGATAAATTCCAGACATTCAAAAATGAACTTGAAGCAGGGATATTTCGCTATCACACGTGAATACGTTATCTCAGACTGATATCCTAACATGTGAAGGGCGCATTACCGATCCAAGAGGACTCTGTGCGGCTGGCCTGTGCGGGGAATACAATACTCATTGGAAGACTCATGGAGAGCTTTCAGTTGAAATCCAGTTTCCGTAGATTTTCTGTTGAGGTCATGGAGGTGCTTGGCTGACTAGATTACAGTTAACTTGACCTTTCCAGATTTTGAAGAAAGCGAAATCCGACGGAACGTTAGCTGTAATTAATAAACTAATAGTAAACTACTAGTTAACAACTAATCACAATTATAATAACTACCTCATTTGTGCCTATCAAGTAAACAGAAAGATACTTCATTCCTTATTCACGAATTTTCTTACAATCTCAATAGAACTCACTGTGTACCTTCCTCGTTCAAGCGTTTGTAATTACTAGAAGTTGTTGCATTTAGTAAAGGACATTTTGCTTGGTATGTTAGATCCTCAGGTGTGATAAAATATAGTGGTTCAACACCGTCGGTAGAAAGAACGACGTCCAATATCATTTCATTACCCTTCAACAGAAGAGATGAAAGTACACCTGTTCTGAATGGATGAACATAGTCGGCATCCAGATACACATACCTGGAAGCGTATACTATCACTACAATTTCTTGAGGTTGTCGGGAATGGAAACAGATATTCGAACTCCTTCAGTTCTGTCGGTTCGATGCGACAAGTGAAAAAGTCATAGAGACCGTACAACGCCCCAGTGTATGGGAATTTGCTTTTTACCTAAAAGAGCACAGCTTTTCATGATACATTTAACTCTGGTGAATAAGCTTACAATAACCAGCTTTCACCACTCCTAGAATGAATGAGGGAAAAATGAATGTTCGGTCAGAAACACATTCGAAATTGAGATTTCTTCGAAGTACGAGCAGTTACCTTGACGAGTATTCCATCATCACGGCATTCTGACTCAAATTTGAATACATCTGATACTGAAACAAAGCATACTATTAGAGTGTTCGATAAGGAACGCCCCATTTTACAAAGTTAAGGCTCTAGACGCCCTCATTTTAAAATGTAACTATTTACTCATGTTCTATATATTCCTACAAATTTATCTAGACTTTGAGGTGTAGATTCCGCTCCACGTTTTAATGGTAATTTTATTGCTTTCTGTGCAAACATGTTGAGTTCAGAATAAAAGGATAAGGGATAAAGCTCTCGGCTTTGATCAATTCCTGAGGGATGCGGCATGCATTCGGCTTCATTAAGCACCGTCTGGAGGTGATTGAATGCATATATGGCCTTTACAATGACTTGCGATGGTCTACCGATGTATCACACTAGTGCTGCTACCCTCCCAGACAAGTTTGATACAGATTTGCCACGCCGGAGGGATGGAAAGCTTGGCCATGGGCGCTGGGATCGATCCTCTGTATGTTTCATGGCCGCTTCCGACTACTACGTCACACGCACTCTAATTTCAGAATAACAGGACAAAAATGGAGAAGTGTAGCAGGTTCGAACATTTTTCCTATTTTTTACGAGATCAAATCCAAACCTAAAGCAGCGATGATGACGTTCCACTGGACTCTTGCATTTCGCTAAGAATCGTCAACAATTGAATGACGCTAAATTGTTTTCAAAAACTTTCCAAAAGTGATTACAGCATTAAAGAAGAGAAAGGCTGCCAATGAAGATGAATAATTAGGAACATTAATTGAAGCAAATAAAGGCACAGCCACTGGACAAAGGAACTATGAGTGAATTAAACAATGACTTCAGAACACCTCCGCGAAGAAAAGAAGAAAAAACCGAAATATGGAACCCAAATGTTTAGAGAAAAAAGCAAGGAAGTTTTCATTATGAAATCCGCTTCCTCCATCTCCATTCTCAATGGTTTGCTAACTCATGGACCTAGAAAGTGTTCCTGGATGAGAAACTACAGTGGAGATCCAGTTCATCTTCTCAGAAAGGTCAGTGAACTTGAAAAGAAGTTAGACACTCCCATTCGAATAACCAGGTGAGAGTTAACACATGTCACTGTATTCACCTGTGACTTCAGGCCAAAAACAAGAAAAGGCTTTAGACAATGGATTATACAAAAATCTTAGTGTTTGCTGCATCCCCTAAGCAACCGGAACTCACTGAGTAGTTCTGGTGCGCGAAAGGGACGTATGGTCTTTAGCTGTAATGGATCGAGTTACTCAATGATTGGTGGAACAACAGGTTTGCTTATACTCGTTTACTACTCGATGATTCACGGGAACAGAAGACGTCTGGTCTTATTCAGATGAAAAAATGAACGAACACTATCGCTTTTTTGGTTTAATTGTGATGTGAGACTAAAACCGGATCGCACTTTAGCATCAACAGTGTTTTGCGCAGTAAAAGACAAAGGATAAAGCTCAATGCGTCGATCAATCCCTGAGGGATGCGCCATGCATTCGACTTCATCAAGCATCGTTTGGAGGTGATGGAATGCATATCTGGCCTTTACAATGACTCGCGGTAGCCTAGCGATGTATCGAGCCACTGCTGCTATCCTCCTAGACAAATCTGGTACCAATTTGCCGACCCTGAGAAGATGGAAGGTTTGGTGGGCCATGGGTGCGAGGACCGATTCCAGGTGTGTGTTGCAGGGCGCCTCCGAACACTGAGCTACACGCGCCCATTCCGCGCAGTAGTTTGGCGAATAATACGTACGGAAACAACCAGAAGAAGTAGAAATCAGAAACAACCAGATTCTTCGATGCAAAAAATGCGTTCTTTGAGCTCCAAAAACCAGCACCTCACCGATGTAAAACAGGAGAGCTTCTAAGGCAGCTGTCGTTATTTGGTTTAGTGTGAGTGGATATCATCTCACGTCGGACGCTAAGCATTAGCATTTAAGAACTTTAAACCAGAAATAAAATGACGATTTTCTGTTTTTAATATTCGCAAACTATTTGCCACTTCGTCTATAGATGTCGACAGATTTAATTTATCCCTGAGTTTTCACTGCATCTGAACTACCCAACCATACGTAGACCCAATAATAAACAAGAAACTTTTCTCAATTCCATTGCAAACCAGGTCAAACGAGACCACTCACTGTAAAAATGTTTAATCTTCCCACACAATCCATACTTGTAATAGTGAATGTTTTCACAATCCGAAGGATCGTTGAGTTCAACTAGGTCAAACGTCAACGCTTAACGCACAAACAGACCGCTTAGGACGGTTTTTCTCTGACGACGGATTACCGTAGAAAAACTGTAGCTGATGAAAAGCGAAGATATTGTCGGACCACGCTGTCAACGGAAACAGAAGTCCGAACGGATCTCCCTCACCAATATTACCGCCTGCTGCAGTACTCCTTGTGAAATCGAAGAATCCAAACAACAGTTTGACTGCACAGTACCCGTAAATAAGATCAAGCGATAAATAAATCAATCGTTTCAACGTATTGTCAAGTGGTATTTTCGTAGCACTCTTTTAAGAGAACTTTAGCCAAAGATATCTGACCCAAGAAAAAAAACCCGTCGTAATTTTTTTTCATTCTCTGCTTAGTTAAAGATAATTACTCACGATTATAGCAGTTATTTTCGTAGTAGTCAATACGAAAATTTGGATTGTTGTTAAGGCGAATGGCCAGCGGCTTTGTAAGCTGACTGTCCGCTGAAATGTGACAGCCGCCGTCGGTTCGATTGAATGAAACCGATCGACATGGAACCCTGAAGAGAACAACTTTTTGGAAACGACGGCTTTTGCACAGCACCACCACCGCCTTAGTTCCTATGAGCTCTTTTGCAAAATCGAAACACTTTTGGAAGCAAAACCCTTTAAGAAATAAGTATGTTTCCATAGAAAAGATCAATATTAGAATAAGCTGGAAGAATGTTCTCAAATTCGAGGAATAACTAAGAGATCACTGACGACTTTTCATTGAGACATTCGACGAGACAGTCCTCCAAGCTCTTCTTCTTACTGACACGAACCACCTCACGTGCATCCATGTAGCGATCAGAGAGGTAAGTGAATGCATAGTCACCGTTACACTTACGGGTTGCTGAAAGTTTGTGGTTTCAACCAATATTAATAAGACAAATCAAAATAAAAAAAACCCATGGAAAAAAACCTATATTACATTTCAAACGGCCTAGCAGGAACGTTAGAAACATTCAGTTTCAAACGAACAACTTCATTCTAATACTTCAATTTTGAGTGCAGCAGTTAAACACCTGAGGTTCTGAAAAGTTAAGATTACTGCCGATCACTACAGAATAGAACCTTAGCCCAGCCAATGAAGCTTTCTTCAGAAAACAAAACGAATGGATAGTTTTTATTTTTATTTAATCTGTCTTTCCGTCTACTGTGCGGATGCCAACATTTCTCACATACAATTCGCTTCCTCGCATCCACTGACCACGAAGGTGTTCCAACTTTTAATGTGGTTTCGGTTGCTGCTTGAGGATTTTCATTTCATCTTGAATGTGGTAGAATGCTAGTCGAGCAATTCTCCCTGGACTGCTGAGATAGCCGGGCTGAAGCGTTCCCAACTGGTTCGCACAGAGTGATTTTTTCCCCAGTGAGAGGCTTGTTTGCTAGAGCGGAATCGAATTAGCACCATGCTCGTGATGATGGACATTACTACCACTACGCTATCCGCCCTGTCACCTGGATGAATAGTTACAAAAATAAAGTAAAAAGTAAAAAAAGATGAAGCTCTTGGCGTTGATCAACCTCTGAGCGATGCGCCATGCATTCGACTTCATTAAGCATCGTTAGAAGTGATTGAATGCATGTTTGGTCTTTACAATGACTCGCGGTTGCCTATCGATGTTATGGAGCTAGTGCTACTATCTTCCTAGACAAGTTTGCTTCTAATTTCCGATCCTGGTGGCATGAAGGGCTTGGTGAGCGTGGGGTGCAGAGATCGATCCCTTTTGTATTGCAGGGCGCTTCGGACCACTGCGCTACACGCGCTCCAGTTGCGAAAAGTAGATGTTGTAAATAGTGAAGGATATTTGAAAATGAACAAGTGTAGAGGCACTTAGGAATCTTTAAGAGATTGATAACACGTCTCTTGTTCTTTTACGGTAAGAAGAGAAACAAATATCTTACGCCTTACCTATACGCGAAAAGAAATAAGCTACAGATGACTTCAAAACTCTTAGCAAAAAGGTGATATAGAGTCAGATATGTCCAGAACCGCTCAGATTCTTGTCGACACGACAAAAGCACGGCAGCAACCTACTTTTAAGCAATTTTGGAAATTTAACCATTACCTTAGTTCTTAAATACTTGCAGGCACCTTATACACCCCGTACTGTCTTGCAACGAAAAGAATTTAGATGAGAACAGAAGCACGTGTGGGAAAATTTACGTGAAAGCTGGCAAAACTTTAAGAAGACATTCACTCACAACTGAGGCAGTACTTCCAATAAAACGAGTACCGATCATCCGCTTCCACGTAACCATCCACGTTTTGTAGTTGATGTGGTTGGAAGATGTCACAATGATGAGCGAATCCATCCGGAGATGGGTGGTGATTCAAGGCTGCACACTCCAATGAACGTCCTAAGATTGAATAGTACACCTAAACTTAAGAGCAAACAACAAAGTGCACTCTGCTGTGTCTGTATAAAAGCCAAAAGTGTCCTTGAGACAGTTGGGTAGAAAAAATGGGCCTTTGTAATTGCGAAAGAGAAGTGGTTCTGCCGACCTGGGGTCTGTGGATCTTCGCCAAGTGAACATGCACTCTCACAAGCTCCGAGCACCAACCGGGCGTTCGCAACTGCCTTGAAGTTTAACCGAACCCGTGGCCAACGCACGTAGAATGGATTACACGAAGGTTCTCCTATAATGAAAAAACACATTTGTTAAAGTGTAAGGCGCAAACCAGTGATTAACCTTACTAGTCACAATATAAGAAATACTTGGTGTCACCTACGCATCTTATCGATTAGGTTACGGAATTTATAATGACATTTACTATCATCGTGTACTCATTGGTATGCTTATTCCTACTGGGCTTCGAAAATTCATTAACAGCTTCGGAAAATTTCGTCCGATTAGCAGAATGTTACTGCTTATGCTGTCTAATCATTTCGTGATAGGTAAATCACAAGAATAGGCTTAGTTTGCAGAGCACGGCAAGGTTCATGTACGTGTATGGTGAGGTACTCACGCATGTATGTATCTCAGGATAGAAACAATGGGCTTCAATCTTTCTACTTCAGAGGTGTTTCTGGAACAAGTTGTGTAGACGAGCACGGAGCAAGTGTCCAAGTTTTTTGACTCATCTAAATTGCCAAAATCTGCATGGACTGCGCCATGATCTGTACTTGCAACGCATTCACACTGTCGTTGGAGTGCTATGTTGAAGAATTATGATGCAAGTTAGAAGAATTAATTTTACCGTAGTGAATGAGTAGTATTTGAAATATGTCATATTATCCAAGTGAGAGAAGGAACTCGGAATTGAGGCACGACCTATTCAGACGACGAAAGATATGCTGTTGTAAGATCCCAAAGATCAGGTGAATCAGATATATGCGGCGTTTCAACTCCAGTTTGTCAAAGAGAGTATAATACTGTTATTTCTCAAGTTTCCTTCTTGTTAGTAATTTTGAGTGTTACTATCTCAAAATATATCTTATGAATATCATGAGCATGGTCATTGATCTCAGAAAAATTTTCGTTGGCAAGAAAAACCGTTAACAACAAGATTACACGGATTGCACAACAAGATGTACATCAGCAGAATGTTCAGATTCCTTGTTGAACGAAAAGTCTATGGTCTTCGTGTACACCAAACGAATGGTAAACGACGATGGCGACAGATAAAAGGTTCAATGGCGCATGTTGAAATCATTCGACAGCCATCATACAATATGTGGTAAAGGATAATGTGACCTTGGAATCCTGAGCTACTGGGCAAACACAAATCTCCCTTTCGTCTCCGTAGAGATCTATAAAAAATTGCGACGAAAAATGACTTCACATTAAAAAAACTGCATGGCACCTTACCACTTTTTTGCTCTTTCTTAACCCTTTCACGAGTATGCACACTGATCCCAGTATGTACGCTGCTGTACGTTTCGGACCGTAGATCTTGATTTCAATACGCATGACGGCACTCCGAAGGAAAGGATGAAACTTTTATGTATTCTGACAACTACTTAGTGCACAGGATTGACAAAAACTGCTTCTCTATAAATACTTTCAAATAGATACATTGCTTTATGACCACATAGCAGCCTTCATGGTCCTTTGTAGTCAATGGATGGCTTATACAACACAGATTTTATTTTGATTTTAAAGTGACGCTGGCCCATGAGCAGTCATTTCCAGCCATACTTGAAACAGCCGTTTCGGACGGTGGAACGAAGTTGGTAGAAATAAATGAGAAAGACAGAAATACACTTCAACAGACAAAAAAAACCATTCAGAAGGCTAACAACATCAAGGTTGGCTAATGGACGATTTTTTTCATCGCACGAAAGAGGAGTCTAGGAACATAGGAACATACACAGAAGAATATAGCGGATATATCGAAGTTAGGGAGGCATGGAGAAAGTGTAAGGGAACAAAACAACAAGTCGGCGATCTCAAGAAACCTCTGCGTCGTGACTCTTGTGCGGGACCTTAGGCATTGCTTTTAACGCACCTTCCAGCTACGATAATGTGTCACGCGGTCCGGCGAGCCCAACGAGCGAAATTGACTGCTGTCATGAAAGGGCTAAGTTTCTTAATTATGTCGTATTTCTACTTCACCTGTATCACCCGTAGCCCCATTGATCGTCTAGTGACTCGAGCGGACGCCAGTAAATCTTCTACTTTTCCCTGTCACGTCCAATAGTAGCCCAGTGGGTTCTGCTCGCTCTAGAGACTCGTCGAGCATCATATCTTTCTTCTAGGCTTTTCGTGAAGAACTCTGACCATCGGGTTGGTGGTCTTCCTGCAGTGCGTTTAACATTCCAAGAAATCCAGTCACTAACGGCTCTTGGCCATCGGTTGTCATTCATACGCATTACGTGTCCGGCCCCGCTTATCTTCGACTGTTTGGCGTACAGAACAGCATCTTTGGTTCATGATCGTTGACGTAGCTCGGAGCTTCGGAACCCTACTCTTACTTGTGTGAAACGGGATACTTCTAACATCGCCCTTTCGACTGCGCGTTCAATAACACTGAGTGATCTTTCATCCTGCTTACGCAGCGACCAGGTTTCTGACCCATACGTTAGGGCAGGAAGTACCGTTGAGTCGAAAAGGTGGGCACGGAGTCGGGTGTTCTTTGTTCCCCTCACTACTTCTTCGACGCTCTTGAAACCTCCCCAAGCCGTTTGTTTCCTTCTGCTCAACTCTGGAGCTAAGTCGTTTAACATGTTGATTTCCCAACCTAGATAGACATAACCGTTGAGCGTGAATGAGGCATACAAAACTAACCCGTTCCTCATGAACATCGTTTTTGTGAGATTTAGTCGAAGACCGATCTTTTCACAGGCTTTATGAAAGTCGGGAAGCATACGTTCCGCTTGGTTAATGTTTGGTGTTATAAGGACCAATAAAAATTTTTGTCATAAGCAAAGCGAAGACGAAGACCATCGATTTTCACTCCTATATTATCCCATTCCAATGCTCGAATGACGTTCTGGAGGGTGGTGGTAAATAATTTTGGCGAGATGGTATCGCCTTGCCTAACTCCTCTTTCGACGTCAACGTTAATATCGTTGTAGAATGGTGATATCTTGGTTGCGAGATTTTTGTACAGCTCACGAAAAATCTTTATGTACTGAGTAGGGACTCCTTGACTATCATGCGCTTCCAAGACTGCTTCTATCTCAATTGAATCATAGGCCTGCTGCAAATCGATGAAAGTGGAACAGAGCGGTCTTTTGCACTCTCGTGATGCTTCAATAAGTCTTGTTATCGCGTGGATGTGGTCCATCGTACTAAATCCTTTTCGAAACCCTGCTTGCTCACATGGCTGTCCTTCGTGCAGTGTTCTGTCAATGCTATTTAGGATGACGAGTGGAAAGTTTGTGCACGACAAACAGTAGGCAGATTGGGCGATAGTTGCCGATATTGTGTAGGTCACCCTTCTTGAACAATAACACGGTCTAGCTGGTCTTCCACTGAGTAGGGACTTTGTATTCAGACAGGTAACGTGTTAAGAGCCGAGCCAGTGTGTTTACGAGGTCTGGCGAAAGGTTCTTCAGGTGTTCTGATCTTATTCTCTCGGGACCTGGTGCTGTTCGATTTTTCACCGACGAAATAACATGTTGGATTTCGGAAGGGATTTTATCTGGTAGAGAAGTATTGGTAGACAGAAACCTAGCTGAGAGACAGGCGAAAGAAAAGACCCGTATGGTGTTGCGGTGAACGCGTTAGCCCCCGGAAAGAAGAAGGAGAATAGGGTGTTCGTTCCGCACCGCAGACAACTGCTTTCCCAAATATTTCAGCATCATTAAATTCAGCAATGTTATGTAAATTTATTGGTCCTCTTTCCATCTGTTTATTATGTAATTGTTTTTTTCATTTGTTATTTATTCCGTTGTTCTTATTTCGCCCTTCTATCTCTTTTTCCGAAGCACAATATTTCCACTTGTTCAGTTATCCTCCTGTGGTACTCCGTTTTGCTTCCATAAATAAACGAATTTTCAGAACAGCTCTACTTGAAAGAGTTTTTCTTTTGTAAATTAACACTACTGAGCAAAATTTTTACCCTCTTTTGTTGCGGAGATTAAAGGGATACCTGCGTGTAAAATCGAATCTATGACGTCGGTAAACCCTTTTTTTCTAGAGCTATACGGAGGAGAATTTTCGTTCAGTTCAAAAACACTTCGAAACAGTTGTGCAAATCAACGGCGAGATAAAGTCAAGAGCAATGGTTTTGCAGAACAGTAGCTAATGGATTCAAATAATGGATAGAAAGAATAAGGCGTCCTACGTTTACTGTGTCTCTAGGGATCTAGCGTGCACTCAACTCCTTCAACACACTGTGCGCATCCTACACAATCATACATGGCGCGTCGAGTGGCTCTTATGACCTCTATATGGGTCATTCTCCTTCTGATGTTTACTTTGACGAACAGAATCCATTTCCTAGATTTCTTGCAATCAATCAATAACTTATCGAACACAGATCTTGTAGCGATCGCTGGCAGGAAAAGCTCCACTTTACAGTTGGAAATATGGAAGAATATCCTTTCTTGAATGAGTTCAATAACATGAAATTTGACAGGAATTTACTATTATTTCATACTTAATCGCTATTATGAATCATGGCTATTGTATGGGATGTGTGGGTATAAAAATTGTCAAAATAAACACAAGTTGGAAAACACTTCCAAATACTGACAGCTACGTGTTTGTGATGGATCATAGTGACATGTAGTAGCACACATACCATTCAAAACAATAAAACGATAGAACAAAGTCTCGGCTACAATCCTGTCATTTTTACAAACCCTATAGCCCTTTAGTTATCGAAAAATAGGCGTTTGTTTTTAAAAACCCAGGAAGTCCATAAAGGCTGAAGATTAGGTGATGTCTGAAGCCGCATGGACACTAAATGACACCCATCCGTTGTGTGTTAAGCACCGTTGGAAGTGATGGCGTGCATACTTGGCCTTCACAACAACTTTTGGCGATCGATCGTATCTATCTAAGTATGAATTCAGTGCTTTATCCTTTCAGACAAGCTGGGTGCCTAAATGCCGACCCTGTAGTGATGTGAGGAATTGAACTAAAAGTAGGTGCGTACAGAAGGGCATCTCGAGCTACTCCGTTATATTCGCATGTAGATTCAAATAATGGGCAGCAAGTATTACGATATCTATATGAAGTATGCTAATAATTGAAACTAACCTGACAATATATGTACGATTATAAACAGTACCACTAACAGCCGCATACCTAAACAGAATTCGGTTCAAACCGGCAAGCAGTAAACTATGTCATTCCACGGAGTTTTTAATGTGACATAGACAATACAGTGATATCAAATAAAGTACAACATAGAAGGGAACTTTTAAAAAGTGTCAGCGATGATGGATGTAAAAGGAAGAGAACATGCAATGGAAATTCGGGGAAAGAAGTCCGAAAAACGTGGTGTTCCTATCTGACCTTGCGATCATGTCCTGGTTTTTTCCCTAAGTAGGGATAACAAGATAAACTGGAAACTACTATGGTATTCGGTCATGCCGAATGTCTGATATTTGATCAGTCAGCCATCTACCAGCACGCCGATTAACATCGGGACCGGCAAAACTTTGACAGAACTTTCCGAGACAATGAGAAAAGAGCATAGTTTACATGGATTCCTCGAGCGAGAAATATGGGACGACGAAATTGAAGGTGAGCAAACGGTGAGAGGACGATCCTTGGCAGGCATCCAACCACTCGAAAAACTGCCAGTTGCCTGTCTAGACTTGATCGTCATTTTTCATGTATTTATAGCTAACGGATTAATGACGCCGTAGGATAGAAGAAAAAGACCTGCTCATAGTTACATTCCAAAGAGAATCGCCAGATTTTTCAAGAACAGTGTAAGCCTTGACTGTGAACGTGTTCTCGTATTTGGGACACAAGAGAGGGTTTAAGTGACTCCGCAAACAAAGTGTAGGCATTTTGGTAAAACACATATCGAACATTCTTACTGTTAAACAAATGCTACTCCCTAGAAACAAATCAGAATCGCTGCATGACTGACATGCATCATTGCATTATTATATCAAAAATTGTTTGGCGTCATTCTACCCCTTTATCATGTCTAACCGCAGTGCTACATTCATCCCATGTACTTAGATATTTACATATTCCGTCACTGTAATTATTTTATGGGATCCTGCATGTTACGTCGCCTTTGAGTGACCAGTATAGTAATCACGGGATTCGCCACTATTCTGGAGGAATCCGAGTCTCATGGCAGTGAACTTTTTGTGAAGTACCTGGCAGTGCTCTAGCATGTATCTTGAGAATTCATCGAAAGATATTCATGCTCGAACATCATTAAACACTTCAACAAAGAAGGAAGGCTGTAGATTTTCATATCGAAAATGAAGTCTAAATAAAATCTAAAAATCTGAGCACTTGATGGGTGGCGGTTGCGAGACAATAAAAGAAATCCCAGTAAGTGTTGTCACTCATGAGAAGACAGGTCATCTTAGTACGTATACCAACAGCAGCTGTCGCTCTTAAATTTAACGCCTAGAGCGCAGTCACTAAAGTATTTAAGAAGACAAGAACTCCATGGAATTATAGAAGAGGTTTCCCTATCGCTTCCAGAAAGTTTCTCTCAGAAGGACTCTCAAAAATGTGTTCAATATTATCTATTTACTTCTATTTACAATATCCGAAATTATTGCAAGGCATCTTTCATTCAGTTTCTCGAATCTACCATCCACGAAATCCTTCGGATTTGAGTGTGGGTTCTGCTGGCACTTGAGAACTGTCGTCATCATTGAATGGCGTAGAATTATAGTCCAGCGGGCTCTTCCTGAAATCCAGGGATTAATCTGTTAGAGCATTTCTAAATCTTCACTGATCCGAGGAAGTTCCTACAGGAAATGTCTGGCATCAATTTCCCGAACCCGAAGAGGTAGAAGCTTGATTGGTCTAGTACGGAAAAGACCTTGAAACCATGCCGGTGTAATTCCACAGCATCTCTGACCACCTGGCTTCCCGCGCTCTTGCTTGGAATCAAAAATTCCAGATAATTGAATAGCGAGTTAAGATTTCTAAAATAACTACCACAACGTTAATTTGATTCCGAACAAAAGTTCGTTCCGCCTGTCTCTCAGAATGAAGGACCCGCATGGTGTGGTGGTGAACGCGTTACTAACCGGAAAGGACAATAGCGCGTTCGTTCCCCACCATAGACACCTGCGGCCCAGAGTTCTGCACATATCTCACCAACGTTGTGGTTGTATTTCGCTTAATATCCTGCCGTGAAAATTATAGTGGGCAGAAAATAAAAGGTAAGGCATAACTAGCACAATTCAACAACCGTAAACTTGAATGGAACATTGCAGGACATCACCGTACCAGACTGGACAAGGTCTCACAAGTTCAAGTCTTACGTTCGTTCAATTAATTAAAATTTTCAAATCGAGCCTCTACGGAGAAAAATTGGAGGAAGAAATGGATTTCAGCACTACGAAAACTGGGATTATATCGTGGTCGGCTGAGAAAACTGGCTCGTTATTAGCAAAGTATGTTTATTCCTATGGTTTTTGCTTAAATTAATAAAACTCACTATGGTCCGAAACATTTTTGTTTAAAGTTGACGCAGTTATTACCGAGCACATAGAAGGATAAAAGGATAAAGCTCTCGGCGTTGATCAATCCCTGAGGGATGCGGCATGCATTCTACTTCATTGAGCATCGTTTGGAGGTGATTGAATGCATATCTGGCCTTTACAATGACTCACGGTGGCCTACCGATGTACCCAGCCAGTGCTGCTATCCCAGACAAGTCTGGTACCAATTTGCCGACCCCGGAGGGATAGAAGGCTTGGTGGGCCATGGGCGCAGAGATCGATTCGTGTGTGTCGCAGTGGCGCCTCCAACCACTGTGCCCACACGCGCCCTTACCGAGGACATATAAATGGAAACCACAGATTAACATGAAACCAAAGCTAATTGTTAGTAGAATTATCAGTCAATGAACTTCTGCAAAAAAAAGGATATTTTGTAAATCACCGAGTGAAGAAAATAGCGTTTCTGGCCCGACTTCTACATTGCTCTACTTCCGATAAGCTATCGCACAATGACAAAAAGTTTGGTGAAAAGGTTTGTGCACCAAAATAAATCATCAGAAGGAAAAATGACCCTTAAATAGCTCACTGCGATCACTTAAGCTGCCATTTATGAACAGTATACTGTCCATGTCGTTTCGAATGGCTTTCAAGAACAGAAATCTTTAGAACTGTAGCGAAGGAAGAGCTCAAAAGTGGAAAGACAACTACGAGTAAAATGTAAGACTAAGTAATTCTCTGAAGCAGTACAACTTCAATACAGCAATCAGATTAGAAAACTATCATCAAAGAGGTAATGTCACAATAAGAGGAGAAAAAAGAAGATGGGTCCTTTGGCTCGCAGTTTTATAAGACTGGTACCAAGCGCTCAGTAAATTGTGATTACATATAGCGAAAAGCAGATGAGATCGTAGGACAAAGGACTCTTGCTAAGATAATTTACGAATACAGCGTACTTCATTGGACTCGCATGAGCTCTTTGGTAGTATTTGTTATCCAGGTTCAATGATGGTGATGCTAATACACAATTACTCTGATGTAGGTCGACGCTGGAAACGATCGAAGCGAGCGCAGAAGCGACTTCGATGGGTTGCGGACACGTTAGACCAGAAATAGGTCACGCTACTATTCTGAAGTATTAGCATTACTATACTATTATTTGGACAGAAGAAGATCCACTCTACAGTGAATAACGATAGTGATAAGAGTGCACAGGATTAAACTCAAGACGCTGCAACTTCATATCAACTACAAACAGCTACCTGCGATTCTCCATAGGAAAAACTATGAGTGGATAGTAGGGACATTGGGATAACAATGGGAAGAAAATATGAAAACCGCGCGATAGGTGACGTAGTCAGCCGCCGAGCCTTACACGACGACCTTGGCCTGCTGGCGAACAGATAAGGCTTGCGAGGACGACGAGGTAAGTTACACAAAACTCGGAAATCGTGGCTGGTCAGTCTCCAATTCCTAGGAAAAACGGTTCGATAACTTGTTCCCATTCTTTTGATTTTAGAGCTAAAGTGAAATAAACCAGAAATTTTCTCCGATGAAAGGTAGTTTTGTTCCGAATCAAATTAAATTAGTCATGTACATGACCAAGTTGCTTAGTTCTTCATATGCAAAACAACACTGGTTGAACAACGAAGTAAAATTGGTAACTTACTATCAGCTTTATCATGACACAAAGAAATCTCACAGTATTCACGTACACCGTAGGCAAACTATTCAACAAGAAAGACAACATAAATACAGATGATTAGACCTTAGAATGTTACATTTGCGTTTCAAAAGTACTGTTTTTGCACTCTGAGTTATTTTATGTAACTCGAGAATCTAATACAAGTTAAGAATATTCATAAGATAGATTCAAATAAAAATTTAAAGAATTTTGTCATTTTGTCCTATTAATTCTATCATGATCTAGGACACTAACCATGACACCAAATAGGCGAGAGAATATGACCTAGAAGTGCTTATAGGAAGAAGAACATTTACATCGAAACTATCTATACAAGAATTCATACTGATAGTACGATATACTACGATTCAACGCCACAGAACCGTTTATCGTTGGCTGATCTATGCAGTTCTTGCCTGTACAATGGAGGTCGAGTTACTCGATGAGTTGATTCGAGCATTACAGCAAGACGAGGCATGAGATAATCGCGAATAATGAACTGTGGTCCGATCGTTGATACTGCTTCCAGCTCTAACTTGGTGCGTAACAAATGCAACTTATCCAGCTAAAGATATGAAGTTGAAAAAAATGAACAATAATGTTACTCACCAACCTGCCTTAAAATACTCAACTCATCCACTACATTATGTTCTCCTAACACTTGAGCCCTTCGACGAATCCTCTTAATCTTCATGAAATCGCTGTTACGAAGCTTTAGAAAATGATGGTTTACGATAGGTAATAGCGGAATATCTGATGGCTTAAACCTATAAAATAGAGAGGACTATAATGCACAGAAATGAATGATAATCAGGAAAAATACTGAACTCTGAACAATAGGGATATTAAGCAACTCTGCATTGCTTGATAGATCACTGGATTCATCTGGATCATTACTTAGTTACTTGAATGGTTTGTTTTCGCGAGTCGTGCAGCGGTGGAGAGATTTTTTTTTGAGTGGTATCTTCAGTCTGGCAAGTTCTACTTCTTGTTGTTCCGCTGAGATTTTTACGAGGATAGGTCTTACGTTGTAGACAGAGATAGTAATCACTGATTTTTATGGACCGGAGGGATGTGATGAACTATGTAAGTGAAATCCGAATCTTTAGCACATTCGGAAGCACACCTTATTTAGGGTAACACAGCTTGAAATGGCGCCCAATTTGTTCGTCCTATAACGTATACATTGAATACAATTCACAAGAATCGAAGTTCTCCTAGGTCGCAGGTAAGAGGTGTCATCATTGGCGACAATCTTCCACATTACCTTATTTGTAGAAAAAAAGAGGTAACCTCGCCGGGAATTATGGATACGCACATCACAATCACAATTTTCGCGATTTGTGATGCTAACGCCAGGTAAAGTAAACAACAAATAAGTAAATAAATAAATTAGAGTCAATGAGGCTAAAATAACCACAAGGATGCTGAGACATTAGCAAAACTTGGGACATCAGTTGTGATTCGAACCTACAATTACTCTTTTCGGGGGCTCATGTGTTACTTGCTGCACCAACCAAGGCCCTTGCTTTGTTTCTCTCAGCGAGCTTTTTTACTCCAACGGTGCTATCCGCAGTTAGCCGTCAATGGGAATGACCTAGGAAGCACAAATCGGCACTGAATTTGGTTAAGGCGAAGCTGTACACGAAATAACAATGTTCTAACATCTATTTATTACACACAATTTTTTCACAACACGGAATTATGTGTAATACAACCACAATAAGTTAAAACATACCCTAACCACTGAATCTGCTTAACGTGGCAATGTCGTCCTTCTACACAATTCGAACTCGAGCCGTATTTGTATGTCAACATTATTTCAATGCCTCAAACTGTAGTTATTATGAAATAGTAGTATAAACATTGCACAACTGAAGAGACAACCATGAGGATCGCTGTCAAATAAACCATATATCGGAACTGCCAACTGGTCCACAATCCACTGCAGAACCTTGCGGGTACAAATATCAGGATATCCTTTCCCCTGAACGCTTTATTCTAACACAATGTAACACATCTTAATTAAAAGGATAAAAAAGGATAAAACGCTCAGCGTTGGTCAATCCCTTAGGGGTGCGTCATGCATTCAACATCACTAAGCATCGTTTGGAGGTGATTGAATGCGCATCAGGCCACTACAATGACTCGCGGTGTCTTTCTGATATATTAACCCTGTGTTGCTATCATCCCAGACAAATCTGGTAGCAATTTCCCTAACCCGGAGGGATGACAGGCTTGGTTGGCCTGGAGAGTAATGGAACTAGCACCATGTTCATGATGACGGACATCACTACCACTGTGCTATCCGCCTAATATACATCTTAAGATGTCGATGATGTCGAAAAGTCGACATTATTAACATACTGTAATATTTTGCCTTCTGTCTTCACGACAAATCATGTAGCTCCTCGTCCTTTTGTCTTCATTGGTACGTTGCTAGCACGGTAAGAACATATCCTCCCGAATTACGATAAACATGGAGCTCCAATAGCCTTATAACTGGCAGTCTTCGCCTAGACGGTGTGTAGATGTTCAGAGTGGTTGCCGGATTCTTGCAGATTAAAAAAAGTTTCGCCACTTCGAATCCGAGTGGACGTGTGCCCAACTCCTTTTTTCACCAGATAACTCTTCCGGGAGATTAAATCATATGTTGAATATTACATCTCTCAACTTTCAAGACAACGCTCTATCTGCAGTAAAGTGGGAAACCACTGCAGGAATTAAAAACACTGGTTTCGCTTCTTAACTAAATACTAATACTTACAACTAACTTCTGAACCTTTTTTTTTCAAAAGTTACAAACTAACCGTAACCAGCAAACTCTTCGGAAAGTATTCGAAATAGCCTTCATCAATAAGTTTCTGGAAAATAGCATCTTTCTCTACAACAATAATGAACTGAGTATCACTGATAACACGGAAATTTTCCAACGACTCTGAAACAAGTGCAAATTGGTTTGCAAATGAAAGAAAGGAAACCATGGAATGATTAAAAACAATACGCTAGCAGTATAAAAACAGACCAGATATTAATACCGGTTGACTCCTACAGTCAATCAACTTCCCCTCGCTAGTCATAAATGCAAGAGCACCAAACAAAATTCCTTTACTACTGGAAACCTACAAATGATATATTGTGATCAAGACAATGTTCTCTGGACGTTTTTGATAGACGAATGCCAGAAATCTTTCCTACCGATTGCAAAACGAAGAAATTTGCCAAAACTACAGCCAGAATTAAAAAATTATTGCATTAGACTATCGAGAAATTTCTGTAATGCGATAAATCATTGGCAGCGACGCTTGTTCGCTGTGGCTGCGCATGGGATCACGCTTAATTTTGGGGTATGCAATCAATGAATCACATGTTAGTCACGTCGGCCAAAGCGGCTCAGCAATTTTTGTTGCACTTTGCTCTGCACTCTAGCACTGGACGATGTTGTCACAGAAAACATTATTATTCAGAACGTTTCATAGTCATTATATTAAGTGTACACCTTTCGTAGACTGTGTATGTAAGCGTATTATACAAAAAATTGTTCACTATAGGTTGGAATTTCTATTTTATATGGAAAGACAACTAATCATATGTAGGACTTGCAAAGTACTTGGCTACAGTACATCAAATTACGTGTTAAAATTATCCTGCGAGGGTGCAGTCGTGTGGATAGACATGTTAAGCTGTAGAAATCATCCCAAAGGCGAGTTTCATGCCAAGGTATTGCGATGGGGTAACAAGAGAGTTATCATTATGAAATACTACCACATTGAACATTCAAATTACAAAGGCAGATTTATCATCTTTTAGCGCGCTCCCATCAACCTTGGAAGTTATCGAACTGTACCTGAACAACTTCGTCAATAAGCTACCAACAAACTTATCCTTCCGTTGGCATAAGTTTCCAGTTATCCGGTAGTTGGAAACAGAGTTACCTGCATCACCTGTCCTTCTGTTGATCGTCGAGTTATTTTAGACGTTGTAAACAAAGTTTTCGCTCGTCCTTGTCGCGTGGAAATGCAGACCATTGGGTCTTGCTAGCTCCAGAGGCTCGGTGAGCATCATATTCTTCTTACAAGATCTTCATGAAGAACTCTAAGTAGTGGTTCACTTGTTCCCCTATTATGCGTTTGACATCCACAGGAATTCTGTAGCTAAGGACTCTTGCAGTCGGTTGTCATTCAGCCGCATTTAGTGTTCGGCACACCTTATTATCGAAAATTTTGCGTGTATAACGGCATCTCCAAATTTTAATCATTACGGAGATAGAAAAGTGAGATTTTCTCTCTCACTTACGAAATATGAGAAACCCTATTGCCCACACAAGTGCGTTTTCGACGTTTTCATCTTGTTTAGGTAGCGGCCAGGTTTCTAATACAGTTACAGCTAATACAGTTACATTACAGTTAGTTAAATCTAGAACAATCGCAGAGTGGAAAAGGTGGGCACAGAGATAAGAGTCCTTTGTTCGCTTCACTACATAATCAGTGCTTTTGAAAGATCTCCATTTCATCGCCTCCTCCTGCTGAGCTCTGGGACAAAATCGTGCACTATATTGACTCTTCCACCGAGGTAGACGTAGCTCGACCATTGGGAGAAATTGATTCCATTTGGCGTGAATTAGGCATGAGAAACTAATCGTTTTCTCATGAACACCATTTTTGCGAGATTTAGCCGAAGATGAATCATTGCACAAGTGCTATCAAAACCGACAAGCATTCGTTCCGCCTGGCCAATGCATAGAGCTGTAAGAACGATGCCTTCAGCAAAGCGAACGTGGTGTAATTACCGAACATCGATTTTCACTCCCATGTTGTTCTACTCCAATGTTACCATGACCTTCCCGAGAGTGGGTGAAAATAATTTTGGCGATGTGGTATCACCTTATCTAACCCCTCTTTTGACGTAGATATTAAAATCGTTGCACAATAGTAATATCCTGGTTGTGAAATTTTTGTATAGCTCACGAACAATCTTTATATACCGAGTAGGAACACCTTAACTGTTCAAGGCTTCCATGACTGCTTCTATCTCAACTGAATCAAAAACTTTCTTTTAAACGATTAAAGTGAGACAAAGCGCTCTCTCGTACCCTCGCGAGTTGCTTACCGTAGTGAAGTATTTTTGGAACAGCACTTGTTCACATGCCTGTCCCTTATCTAGTGTTTTGTCAATCCCATTGATGAATTGAGTGAAGAGTTTGTAGACGTAAAACAGTAGGCAGATTGGGTGATAATTATTGAGGACTCTTTTTTGGAAAACAACACGGTCTTGTTGTTCCCCATTGAATAGAAACCTTGTATTCTGAGAGGTAATGTGTGAATAACAGAGTCAGTGAGTTGATAAGGACTGGTGGAAAATTCTTCAGATGTTCGTGTTCATGTCTCACGGTGTTCACGGTTTGTCGCCGACGAGGGAGCTGATTCGACTTCGGAAGAACTGATGGGAAGATACACCCTCCCTAATTCCGAATATAGGCAGGAGGACTCGGCTGCCCGAAAGATCAGCGAAGTAACTGTGAACGAATTCTCTTACTACCTTTCTGGAAGTAGTGACAGTTCGTCTGTACGTCTTCGTGTAAGTACCTTCATCTTGGTCTTGCAACTGGCGAAATTTCGGTGAGTGTTGGTAATATCTTCTCTGAGCCTCTGCACCTTTGGTCATTGCTGCTGCTATTTTCTCTCTAAGATCTTCTTCAATCGCTTTCCTGCTCAGCTTTGCAAATTTGAACTTGAGTTGCCAATTGTCTACAACTGGCGTGATTCCACATTAGCATATTAGCACGACTGTACCTGCAGGCAGACGTCTTTTATCGACTTTTGAACCCTCAGGTTTTATAGTACTAACTAACAGGACAACGATAATATTAGTTAGGCAAAAACTAAAATGTGGGCTATTAAGTAATGGCACTTTCCACTGAAAGGCTCTCACGTCCAGTGTGGTCTTGGTCGTCATGACAAACTCATACCGCTGCTCACCTTATTCGTTCCGTTCTAAACCGTTGACATCAATCAATGTTACGTCTTTCAAACGTTGTTGTGAGTCCAATCTTAAGGTTAAGATCTCTAATGATGACTTCAGATGTGCATCCTTTTCTCTGTGGAACTTATCAAAGTCCATACAGAACCCTTCGATTTCCTCTTCGTCATAACTTGATTTCGGTCGGTCGTAGACGATGAAGATTCTCAAAGCTTGCACTGATCCATATTTCTTCAACCACAAATATAAAGCTCGGGCTGCTAGTTGTTCAAAAAAGTCAGTGATCATAACAAAAGGCCTTTTGACGTGGATGCTAGTGCCACCGATTCCTCTAATGTCGCGCGTCCCAAGAAGCAGTTCTTCATTGCTATTATATGAGGTGGTTAATAGGCGGCGTCTTATCGCCTCGGCCAGTCCGATGACGTCGTATGCAATCCTCCTACCCTGAGTCATCAGGCCCTCAATGAAAGACTCAAATGCAAGTTATGGTTTGTCGGTACAAATAGTCACCTTAGTCTTTCAAGATTAAGGAAACCTGGAATGGCCATGAGACATCAGTATCCTCTCCGTACTCGTCCTACTCAGCGCTGCAGTATCAAACGCTCTTTCGGTGTCAGGGCAATGAGGTCCATCTAGTTTGCTGTTTAGTTATTGATATTTATGCGCAGTTGCCAAGCACCGTCTGAGGACTCAATATGCTCTCAGGTAGCTTGTCAGTCGCTTCCAGAGTAGACTTGGAGTTTATTCGTTGAAAACTACTAACTACCTCCCAATCGATTCATTATTGGTGTTTTGTCCAAGTGGTAGCAGAATACAACCTCCATAAAAGAAAGCACACCTGCGCACGCACGATTGCACAAGTATCCACCAATACAGAAGATGTGTGCCAATTTGGTGCAGTAAAAATAGGGAGTCCGTCGCCTGCATCCACCTTTGTCTGAGGAAAGCACACTGTTGCCTGTTGCGTTCGATCCGACTTTAACCCATTAACCACTACCCAGGGTGTATCACGTATTGTCGAATAATATGGCACACAAATTGTTCGATAGCTCGATGACTCACTATAACCTGTTATCAACTCGTCAAGAGCGTAACGGTACCTCACCGTCAATGTCGACGTTGTCAGAGAGTCAGTCCTTAATATCAGCAAGAAGATCAATGCAGAGATCTCCCAAAGCTTTGATAACATAAAATGGAAACTGTGAGCCATTTTCGAAAATGTTGCACAGAAACAGGGAAAATGGTGACGTTTTAGACGAGTGAGTGGAAAGTTACCCATAACAAGCAGGTTCTCTAAAGGGTAAAGGGTAAAGCTATCGGAGTTGTTCAATCTCTGAGAAATACACCATGTCTTCGACTTCAAGAAGCTTCGGTAAGGGTCACTGAATGCGTATATGACCTATAATACATGGATTCGTGGTGGCCTAGCGATGTATCGAGTCAGTGCTGCTATCTTTCCAGACAAGTCTGGTACCGATTTGCCGATCCCAGAGCGATGAAAGGGTTGGTGAGCCTAGGGGCGGAAACGAACTAATGTCTATTGCATCTCTAACCATAACGCCACAGGAGTCCATACTACGTTCGCCACTAGTAGACAATGAAGTGGATTTCTCCTGTTTGTTCTAAAGCGGATAACCTTAGGATTTTTAGAACAGAAAAATGAAGGAAAAACAACAATGTTATTTCAGACTAAGGAATAAATAAAAGCAACAACTTACAATATTAAGGGCCACGCGGGCCTCGTTTAGTAAGTCACATATGCTAGTAATTGTCCGGTCAAGATTTGCCTGGCTCTTGTACAGCTTTTTCTGTTCATAGAACAAATCGCTGAAAATCCTAGTATTCAAGTGTTTTGGAAAGGGCGAACAGAAAAATGGACCATAGAGAAGATGGTATTGCGTCCTCTAACCGCTGTAAACAAGTGTTTTGTCTTGGTCTAACAAATAACGCAGTGTGAATATATGAAAAGTAACTAAAAGTGTGACGTAACTGACACATAAAAAATTACAAATCTAGGCCAAAAACGAAGACACTACAGAACTATTTACGAACAAGCTAACGTTTTGGTGAGATTTGCCTTCCTCAGAGCATGGAAAAGTCAAGTTTACTTGTACACTTGAATGGCTTGTCCTCACTGGTCGTGCTGGCCCCAGCATAATCTCCATCTCTTCGGAGTTTTGCTGGTTAAGTCATCATGGTTTACGAGGCATGCAGGCAAAGTCTGTCCCAGATCGTCACCACCACAGGCAGTCGCCGCCTTTGTGGATCAGAGGTAGATTTACCACCATATAACTAGTTTGGTACCAGGACGGTGGCAGATCCTGGTGTCCGTTTACTCTTAGCTGGGCTCATTGATGGAAAAGCCGGACTCCTCAGCTTAGGACACTCTACCAGGGGATGGACCCGTCCGGTATACATCGCATTCTGACACCAAGGAGCACCTCCCAACCACGATTAGGCGGTAAACCATTGGGAGGAAGGTCAAGTCTGCTGTAATCTATCCAAAATGGTTTAGCGTTTTCTCTGTTTGGTTATGGAGGCGTTTGGCTAGATAGCATGCGGCCAACCTGACCTCTCCAGGCTCTGAGGAAGGCGAAATTCGCAGAAATGTCAGCTTATTTGCAAATAAAGAATAGGGTAACAACTTCGTGCTTACTCATCAACAAAACAATGAATTATTCGTCCAATGCCGTTGTTAGTAGAAATTCGGTGGTGGGAACTACAGAGTTATGTTGAAAACCAAAAAGATTGGGAAGACAAACCGCTTCGTGGACTGCTGATCGTTGTAAATCAGGCGATAGATCTGTGCAAGACATTGCATTATATAAGCCAGTCTCTTACCCTGGCGTGGCCTTATTACAATTTGTTTCTCAGCATCATCGTCATTCCTAAACATCTGATCGTTAAGAACCATAGAGCCATAGAACATGGATACTTGGATGGCTAGACTTCATTGGTTGTGCAAACCCCAGCATAAAATCCATTTCTTCGGAGTTTTGCTGGCTTAGCCATTGTGGTTCCCTGGAGTCCCTACGTCAACCAGGTCCAGCCAAAGTCCGCCCAATTCTCCATCACCACAAGCAGTAGTCGTCCTCGTGAATCAGAAGGAAATTTGCCACCAAGCGACGAGTTTGTTACCAGAACGGTAGTGGATCCAGGATTGCTTCCAGGAACCATAGAACAAATGTTAATAGCTCAAAATGGTATGAAAACATCTAGAACTTACGCTCTAAGAACTAATCGAGAGCGTGGAGGTGTCAATGCCAGCTGTCTTACCAAATCCAAGCATACGAATTCAATTTTACTCAGGATTATACTCTTCTGAGGACTACTTTCATTCGGAACTGCTTTCTGAGTTAAAGCACTGCCTGATAACATAACCTGTAACCTGCCTGTAACAGTAACGGAGTTTTCTAAAATGGCACATACGAAACATGTGACGATCTTCAATGTACTAATCATTTAAATAATATCAAATTAAAACAAAATTTTCGCAGAAGGAACTATGGCATATCCACTGTGCTATTAATAAAAAAAAATTCTAAATCACCATCGCTCTCACGGAAAGAATAACTAGTTCAAAAAAAATTGACCTTCGCGCCATTCCAGTTCTTTGTTCTGGCTCTATTTGCATTGGAGCGCGAACTAGCAAGTGGTTTTTTTATATTCATCGCGACATTACGTACGGATTTTGGTCTTGGAGTGTTCTGTTCGGGTTTTTCAAAACTCTACACGCTAAAATTCCGTTCTACATTATAACAGTTCTGAACTGTATGAGATCTTAGACGGTCATCTTTTCTACGTGATTTTAAAGGTGCAGCTACTGGTGGCACTCGAGACGAGAGCCAAACAAGAATGGCATGCCAGATGGTGAACAGCTTTTCATTCAGGTGTTCGGTCTTCGAATAATCTCTAGCTGTTGGACTTCTGTAGATTTTTTAGTTTACACGAGGTTGTTATGGTTGTAGTTGAGAAGCATAAATATTATATGTCTAGATAAATCAAGTTTATAGGTTTCATATCTGTATGGCCCATTTTCACCGTGTTATCCTGATTGTGCTTTGTTTCTTTATCCTGTGCTAGTACCAGGTTTTGACTTTGTGTTACAGCAATGGAATGATGCATTTTTCATTCTGGAAAGTCCTAGTGAGAGCACGTCAACAAACGCGATCACATGTTCGTTCCTTTTCAGCAGGTACAGATGCGTTAGTGGCCATCGTTGGAAGTGGCCCTGCAGGTTAGCTCATGTTTTGTCAATGATATTCCACATTTTTTCGAGGATTATGAACCTCTATCTTTGCTGCCTCATCGTGAGTGGTAGGTGCTCCTGGGTGTTGGGCTGAGATGTACAGTGGGGGATTCATCCCCTGGCAGGATCTCCCAAGCTGAGAAGGAGTCCGGCGTTTTCGTCAAGAAGCCTAGCTGAGAATGAATCAATACCAGGATCCATTACCGTCCCGGTATCGAAGTCGCATAGTGATAAATCTCCCTCTAATCCACAAAGGCTGCGAATGCCTTTGGTGGTGAAGACCTGGGGCAGACTTTGGCCAGGCTGACCTCGGGACTCCAGCGAACCGCAATGGTTTAACCAGCAAATCTCGGAATAATGGAGAATATGCTGGAGACCGCACAACAAGTGAGGACGTGCCGCCTAAGTATCCAATTAATTATAAGGACTTTAAATTTTGGTAATTTTAGGCTTGTTCACATGTGCATCGTTGTTAAGGCGAATCCCGGCTAGTAGGTGTGATGTCTTCGATGCATCACCAGTACCATTTGGACTCATCCGTTATGGTGTTGCACCAGATCATCAGGAGGTTGGTTGGCTAGTTTCAATATATTATACAATTGTATTGTTGTTTAGTTGTAGAGTTACAGGTTAAGAACTGTATAAATCTTTTTGATAGGATGTTTGAGTCTAACCGAAGTCGTCTATCGTTATTTTGTAATGTGAGGTGCGTTTTCACATTGTTTCCATGTCTTCCAAGTATTGTTCGTGGATACGACGATTTAGGATTGGATCTGATTTGTCTGTGGAAGAATTGACGAGATACTACGATGCGGTATTGTTATCGTATGGTGCCCATCATCCGCGCCATCTCTCAATACCTGGAGTTAAATCTAAGAACGTTATGTCAGGCTCGGATTTCGTTTCATGGTACAATGGTGTTCCTAACGCTAAGGTTCTAGCAGTTTGTTCTCCAACTAGTATATATAAGCTTCCTTGGTGGTTCATTTCCATTTTCAGGTTCCTGTTTTAGATGATCCAAATGTGGTAATCATTGGAAATGGTAATGTTGCGCTTGACTGTGCAAGGATACTGTCAAACGTGAAGTCACTTCGAACCACAGACGTTCCCTCAGATGTTCTAGTCATTCTTGAAGGCTCTAAAGTGAAAAATATCAAAATCATTGGACGTAGAGGGCCAGAAGATGTGAGTTCCACGTTTATGTTATGGTGTGAGTTTATTCGGAACTATCGTCCGCGGGTTTTTCTTGCACAGGTCTCATTCACTATAAAGGAACTTCGTGAACAATTCAAAGTACCAGAGTGGAATACAACAGTTGAAATGGATGTAGAGCAGTTTGAAAAGTTGAAGGATGCAGTTGGAACTATGGAGAGACGAAGGAAAAGGCTTATGAATGTAAGTTCATATAGCTATGTGTTTTTGTGATTTCGTTTTTCTAATTCACTGCTGTCGTTTGTTAGAGTTAGCAGAGCTCTTTTAACACGAGCTGGAATACTGACATGAGGATATCATGACTTTTTAAGGTTCTCCTAGATGGCGTGAAGCCTCCTGAAGGTGGCAAACAATGCCGTTTTTTAAATTTCCGCGTTCCAGAAGAAATAGTGGCAGATTCCGATGGTCGAGTTTGCGCAATACGGTAAGTTTCAAATTTAATCACTCTCAAATATGTGATGTATTTATCTATTGTTGTAATTTTTATACCTTTCCATGTTCAGGGTTCTGAATAAACGAACAGGCAATAAAGAAGAAATTCCCTGTGGGCTTCTAATATGCAGTATAGGCTATCGGACGGTAGTCCTTGATGGAATTCCCGTGAACGACAAGGTTAGTTGTAAAAAAAGGCTTCACGTGATCTTTCTAATAGGAGGTAAGGAAGAAATATCAATGGATTTGCCTGCCCAATGCCATGTTTCGTTTTTGTTGTCTCGTCTGGAAACTTTCAGTGAAACAACATAGTAAAAGGATAAAGGGTAAAGCTCTCTGCGCCTTAGAGATCCGCCAAGCATTCAACTTCATTAAGCATCGTTCGGAGGTGATTGGATTCATATCTGGCCTTTACTGACTCGCGGTAACCTGCCGATGGATCGGATATTGCTATTCCCCAAGCAGGCCTGCCACCAATTTATCGACCCCGAAGGGATGAAAGCCTTGGTGGGCCAGGACCGCGGGGATAGATTCCATGCGTATTGATTGGCTCCTCGCCACACCCGTCCATTTTAACTAACCTAGTAGCTCTCATAAACACCATCTGTTCTCCACATTCATGACCTGACTCCTGTTTCATTTTGATAAACGCACAAATTGCTTATGGAACCGAATATTTGGAAGGAAATAGTAGCCCGTTGATATAAAGTGTTAGTTTTTAAGAGTATGATGGTCATGAAAGACGAATGTCGCGTTGATATGCCATGTGGTTCACTTGTGTACGCAGCCGGATGGTGCGCTCACGGGCCACGAGGTGTTATTGTCGATACACAACAAGAATCCATTGCAGTCGCGAACGAAATTGCTACTGATCTATTGAAGAAAACTGATGTGAAGGGTGAGTATTTAATGTAGTGTCCATCAACATGATATTTTCGTTCAGATGTATACTGTATTAACTGTTTTATGTTTATATTCACGTATACTATATTTTGTTCACGTTTACATTTATTATTTCAACATACGTGGGCACTTGGATGGCTCGTCTTCACTGGTTGCGCAGACCTCACATAATTTCCATTTTTCTGTTTTGCTGGTTTGGCCATTGTGGCTTCCTGGATTCCCGAAGTCAGCCTAGCGAAACTCTGCCCCAGGTCGTCACCACCACAGGAGGTCGCCGCCCTTGTGGATCAAAGAGACTTGCCACTATGCGATTAGTTTGATAGCAGGACGGTGGTGGATCCTGGTATTGGTTTACTCTTAGCTGGGCTTCCTGATGCAATCACCGCGTTCCTTCTCAGTTTGGGAGGTCCTGCTGGGGGATGAATCCCCCCATTGCACATCGCAGTCCGACACCCAGGAACAGCTTCCAGCCACGATGAGGCGGTAAAGCGTTAGGAGAATTTGCACATGATGTGTTTTATATTTGTCACTTGAAAATGTTGTATTTATATTTTGGCAATGCATCTCTGTTTTTCCCACAAGCAAATTTTGGACTGTTTCGTAAATAATGTTTTTTCGTATTCAGATTCTTCAAAAGGAAGGATTTTATGTTCTAACCCTTTACCATGAGTCCTGTACAGGTTGATTAATGAAAGCAGTATACAATTATCGTTTGGTACTTTTAGGTTTTCCTCAAGGTGCACAGCCGCTTTTGGATGCCAGAGGTATAAACTACATAACATGGGACGACTGGAAGAGAATTGACGACATTGAACTGAAGCATGGTGTTGAGAAGGGCAAGATTCGTGAGAAATTGACAAAGTTTAATGGGTTTGTCAAGAAGTCGGTGTAAATTTCTAGAAGTTCATCCCACTTCATTAACATGGCACATTTGTCAGAAAAAAACCAAAGTGCCCTACTATCACCTTTCTTATTCGGTTTTGTAAAACCGCCTGCCACGACATAGTCCTCATATTTTGTCACAGGTGCCTATTAGATGTCTAGGTGTCTACCCTTCGCCATGGGCAGTAATGTTAGTAGTTTTGCATTTCGCATGTTATTATCAGATTTCTATCTTGATTGCATAAACATAGTCCGTATTAAACAAGTACTATTCTGGTTCTGGAGTTTAAGCTCGTAATACTTGACCTAAATTATTTTTCCTTGTGTTATTATATCGTATTGCGAAGTAATGTAAATCCATCTTGCTTACTTAGGTACTGCTAGCCTCATATCGTTATTGGCAGCTAAGAATGTAGCTGATTGGTTTTAGTTAAAAACAGGTCTGACTAAAGTGTAGGTGATCTCAGAGGATCCTTGTAACCTCGTGAACTCCACTCTACGACTCATTTAAGCTCTTTGTCGTCTGGTCATTTTATGACCAGCTTATATATTATTCGCTATCGATGTGTAATGTCTACGGTTTCGATTAAGGGACAGATGTTGAAGATCTGCGCATTCTGACTAGACGTATGTGGCGGTTAAATTTCAGAAGACATTCAAGTACTCTGTGGTTGGCCCGCAGTATTCTTGACGTGGTTGTAGTATCAGCCGACGTCTCTGTAGCTTAACAGATCGCTAGGAGAACCGTCGAATCGAAAAGGGGAGCATGAGTCTTTCATTTAGTCGGTCAGTGGCTCGCTGGAAAGGCTCGACGACGTTCAGCGTTGCCTCCCTCTGTTTGATTCCTTCTTTATGTTGTTCTCCATGTTCATTGAATGCCCAGGTATACGTACGTGGTGATTTCTTCAATCAGAGGGCCATAAATTTCGATTTTTTCACCTTCGTAGCATGTGTTCCTCATGAGCTGAGTCTCTGTCGTATTTGTGCGCACTCCAATTTTTGTTCACGCTTCGTTGAGTTCCTTGAGCAGTGACTCTGCTTCAGTGGGACTCCTCGTAAAGTGGACGCAATCATTCGCGAAACGAAGATTTGGTAGGAATTTTCCATCAATACGTATGCACCTTCTTGTCTCTGTTGAGTGACTTCAGTATTCACTGCAGGGTGGCAATAAACAGCTTTGGTGATATTGTATCGCCTTATCTTACCTGTATTTTCGTAGTGTGGTTCCGATAATAGACGGAGTTCTTATATGGAACGTGTCCACTAAACGCCCATGTACTCGTATGACATAGCCTGTGTAGTCAGATAACCATCCAGTTCCATATATTCACCTCCACAGCAGAACTTTTCCATGAACCACGCCTTGCGATTTAAACTTAGTCCGATCTTTTTTCATGAACCGAATCTTCTTCCGATTCAAACTTAGTTCAGTCTTTTTACCTGGTTCGTCGAAGCTCATCGATCATCGTAAATCCATCAGTGAAATTTGTTTGCAAATCTTCCTAGTAGTGCTAGTGAAATGTTCGACTTAATGTGGACTTTCAGACTTCAAACAGAACGCGCACCATGCATTGACTATAAGGAAATAACGGTGGTTTCCAGGCTTAAGCGAACACCCCAGTTCACATAGAAGATTATGTGTGTTTAAATTGTTGAGCTTACGCGAGGCTGATAAAATGTTTATTTCGGCCAACGGTTCGACGTCTTCGTCTTTATCCGAGTCGATGGTCGACTTTTAATTTAGTTGATGGCCGAGCTAACTGAAGTTTGTAGTTTTGAACAAACACCGCTAAGATTCACAGATCTTTGTCTACCAGTTGCATTTTTTATTCTGCTAGAGGAAATCATTTTCGGAGGCCGATAAAAAGTATGTATACACCACATTTTCACTTTTTTACTTTAGGACTCCTATTGAGAACAAGAACACGAGATAATGCAACCAATTGTTGTTTGCAGTATGGTTAATTTTAAAATTTAGATATCGTTTAGAGTGAGCGGGTAGCATAGTGGTAGTGATGCCGATCATCACGAAATTATCTATGCGACTAAGGCAATATATTCTACATGTGAGCAAAGTCCTATGACTCTTTGAAGTTATCAACTCCTAAAACACTTTGAGTGCAGAGAAACTAACGCCAGTTATTGGTGGTAAGCCAGCTTACGGCGTTGTTGGCTAAGCAGCTAGCTGAGATCATTTTGTCGTGATGTTCTTCGTAAATTTTTCCCATTTTTGTAACCCATTGTGGAATGGATAAAATTTGCTTTATAAGGTGGTATTTATTCTCGTGAATAACGTGTAGTTTAGCGATGAAAACATTCAAATGGAAGTTTATGGTGTGTTTATAGGAATGGCCTCATTAGAGTCGAAGTTATTAGATGGGAGTTGCGTTGGTTACTGTAGTAGTTCGGATGAAGATGAGGAAGCATGGACAGTAGTTAATGATGAGGATCATCATAAGGTAAGGTGCTTTCATTTTCAAATTAGTGTTCAGGTGTTTAGCAACAATTTTCTGTAGTATTGGGCTGACACGATGTTGGTATGAAAATATTTATTCGGCTACGGTTTTGGCGCCTTCGCCTTCCTGAGAGCCACGTTGATCCGAGTCGATGGTTTACAGCTAGTCTTTGTCGGATCGGGTCGAATCCAGTATTGGAAGCATCGCCCTAATGGCTAAGTTCACTCAACTGTGCCCTTTTATACAGGACGGGTGTTGATCGATTTCCGCCTACAATGTGATCTATCAACGCTAAGGTTTTCCGCTTCATTGTAACTGGGAGACGTTCATGGGTATCGGGCTGCGATGTACAGCAGGGGGATTCTGGTAGGGTCTTCCAAGCTGAAAAGGTGTCCAGCGTTTCCATCACGAAGCCTAGCGAAGAGTGAACCAATTCCAGTATCCACCACCGCCATGGTATCAAATATGGCAAATCTCTCTTTGATCCACAATGGCGGCGGCTCCCTGTGGTGGTAACGAGACGGGGCAGTCTTTGGCCAAGCTGGCCTCGGGACACCAGGGAAACAATAGCTAGAACAGCAAAGCTCCGAAAGAATGGAAATTATGCTGGGACCCTCACAACCAGTGAGGACGGACCGTCCGAGTATTCCAAGTATACCGTGATCCACTTTGGGTGGGCAGTGCATCCTGTAGCAGTCGGTACTTCATTTGCTCGCATGTAGCGTGACATTGTATGTCTTAAAAACTCGCTTTCATTAGACCTCGGTAACATTGATTATACAAGCTTTTATTTTGGTAACGTTTTGGCGCTTCTACCGTCCAAACAAACGTGTCAACTCGTGTTAACTTTTTACACCATCCTCATATCGATTCAATCGTCCAGACAGTTATTGGTCTTTGTTCCCAAGGTTTAATGAGAGTCGATTTTCAAGTTAATATTTGACAATAATATGCTACTTATTGTATACTTGGAAGAATATTTTGTTATGGTTCTTTGGGGAAGCAGACATGAGGCTGTTAACACAATGCCCAACTTTTGGTCGGATTCCGCCTTCTTTACTGCATGGAAAAGGTCACATTGATGAGGAGTCTACTTTATCAAGTACTTTTGTAACTTTGACGAGAAATAAATCCGTTATAGAACAAATACTATGTTGACATAGGTATTCTTTCTTTGATAAGCTTACACGAGGTTGATATGCAATTTTTATTAGGCTAACGTTTCGACGTTTTTGTCTTCAACAGAGCCGATGATCTTCAGGGAAATTATGTTGACAACATCATGTCTGTTTATCGAAAAGGCAAACTTAACACTGCCGTGGTCAGTGGAATGTCGTTCCTAGAAAAACGCTGCTTACGTGAAGAAGTACCAGTGGATCATTTTAAAGTGTTTTGTTCAGAATTCCCAGAAGGTTGAACATGAGAAGAATGAAAAAACTTTTGTCCGATATGTATTTTATTCAGTCTTTTTTAACCTGGCGGAGAGACGATATTATTCTTTTTTCTTGATTTTGTTCTAGAACTTGTTTCACTTGAGGAGGTCTAATTTTTAAGGCGAATGTAATGCGCATGTTGGGTCCAAGCACTAATACTGGTGTCAAAGGTGTTTTGAATGAGTTCGCTGCTGAACAGGAACGATCTAAGAAAGCGAGAAAAGCCAGAGATAGAGAAATACGTGGACTGGCACAGAAAGGAATGCTGCAAAGATCCAAAGCGGAACGTGAAGGCGTAAGTTTTTTTTTTTTGCTTTTTTGCCGTTTTTATTTTCTCACTTTTATTCCGAAAATTTCTGTATAAATTCAACTCCCTTTCATGCTGTTATACTAGCATTTTCGAGACAACTGACCTCTACAGGTGTCAGATTGAAGTTGCGGGAGTGGGTGGTATGGCCTTCTGTAGGTTTCGTTTTCCTCTTACTGGTATGTCTACACGTAGAACTGTTTACCTAAACTTGTAAGATACTTGGATAGCTCGTCTTCATTGGTTGTGCGGGCCCCAGCATAATTTCCATTCTCCGGAGATTCGCTGATTAAGCCATTGTAATCTCTGGAGTCCCGAGGACAGCCTTGCCAAAGCCTGCCCCAGATCGTCACCACCACATACAGTCGCAGCCCTTGTGGATCAGAGGTCCTAGTATTGGTTTACTCTTAGCCAACCTTGCTGACAGAACCGCCGGACTCCTCACCTGGGGAGACCCTGCCGGGGAGATGAATCCCTCCGCTGTACGTCGCAACGCGGCGCTCAGGAGCACCTCCTAGCCACGATGAGGCGGTAAACCGTTGGAAGGTTTAATAATTTCTCATTTGATATTTCAAAAAAAAGTTACGAAAACTATTATCTGTGAACGAGCTGGCGTTCATCAGTATGCATCCGCATGTAATGTAAAGGATAAAACTCTAGGCGTAGATCGATCCGTGAGGGATGCTCCATGCACTTGACTTCGTTAAGCATCTTTACAAATGATTTGATGTATATCTGGTCTATGCAATAGCGAGCGGTGGTTCACCGATGTGTTGGGTCAGTGCTGCTATCCTGCCAAACAAGTTTGCTACCAATTTGCTGACCACGGAGAGATGGAGGGCTTCATGAGCCTGGAGCACGGAATCTACTCCATGTGTATCGCAGGGCGTCTTTAACACGCCCCCCTTGGTTCGCACCATACTTATGATTTATCACTTTTTACACATAGTTTACGTTGTATATATTTGGCAGTGTCTACAACTAACCTCAACACCACACACTATTCTCCTTGCGACCTCATGCCTTAGGAATTAACGCATCTAAAATATAATTCCCAATCACTACAAATCCCAATATTTACAGCTAAACTTTTTACCTACCTGCACTTGAAATCGCTCTATATTTTCACTTTATGTGGGCATTATTGGAGCCATCTAAACATGTTGCATTAGCTGCATCTAGTGTCTGTTTGCGTGCTTTGTACAGTGTGAGGTTTAAGGACGTAAATTCCTTCAAAGAAGTAATATTGGGAAAAAGAGATAAACCATGTAGAAGAGAATTTACTAATAATGGTGGAAGAAGATGAGGATACTCATTGGAAGTAGGTGACGAACCCGGTGAACCCAAGCGCATTGTTGGTCTTCCAAAACAACCTTGTGATAGTGGAGTACCGCGTACCTAGCTTCTCGTACGGATATCTCTTCGTCTCTTGCATCACAAGCTCTCAGATTCCTTTCATAAATAATTCGCAGAGCTTTGTCGGTTCATTGCAATCAATTACAAGCGGCGTATACATTCCCAGTCTGTAAATATTAAAGTTAAAGTGAAGTTAGAGGAACAACATTACCAGACCACTTACCGTTTCCCATATCATCATCGTCGTCACTGTCGTTATTTTCATCTATCCTCATTCTCCGTAATCTCTTGCACCCATCAATGGACGCCGCTCAGGCTTGGTGGTATCATCAGTTTCTTTATTATCACTGTCAATGACGAGTTTACTTCAAACATAGTTGAGATCGTCACTGAACGACATGGTTCGCACATATAAAATTCCAATTCCTGTAGTGTAAAAACTCGTGAAGAATGGTAAACTAAGAACTACATGGTAATGGGAAAGATATAATGCATCAAATATAAACGTAACGGAAGAAAAACTAATCAAAGGAGGGTAATGCACAAAGCAAGGAGCTATAGCAATATTTTAAGAACGCTGATGTCGTGTCCAGTTTTCTGGTTTCGTTAAGAAGTTTATTCGAAGCAAACACGATGCTAAATGAGCTCAGGAAGCGCGAAAGAAACTGGAATGAGTATAAGTCCGAGAAGAAAGAGAAAGAAAAGGAGGAGGACGGGAGTCGGATAGCACAAAGGTAGTGATGCCGTCCATCACGAGCAGGGTGTTACTCTGATCCCGCACCAGGCCCAAGAATCCCGCCATCCCCCCTATTGGCATCAGACTTTTCCTCGAAAAAGGAACGTTCCAGCTCGGCAATTTCAGGACTTCTTTTCTTTATTTTTTAGGATTTTTCTTTTTAGTGGCAGGGTATGTTGCGAAATATAACTCGTATATAATGCTGAAAAAGGCAGTAAATAAAAGGGTTAAGATTGTGATTATAACTAAGTCTCAGCTTAACTGGGTTCAATGCCGATTAGGGTTCCCTAGATCAATCCCGTTGACGAGTGATTGCTGATGGCAAAAGATCAATAGAACTAGCTGAGAGACAGGCAAAACGAAGGACCCGGATGGTGTGGTGGTGAAGTGCGCTACTCTCCGGTAAGGACAATAGCGCGCGTTCGTTCCCCAGCGCATACACCTGCGGTCCGGAGTTTTGTAAATATCTCAGCATTATATACGAGTTAGCCGAATAGTTTTTATGCCAAGCTCATGACAGGTCGATCATGTAGGATGTCAATTATTCTTAACCAATTAATTATCACTTTTAATTAAACTTGGTCTCTAAGAATTTGTTTGTTCTGCCACAGAAACTGTTGTTGGCGGGGTGGGAGAGATCTCATCGCTAGTGAAAGTGTCACAGAGTATGGAGTATTAGGATGTTTCTAATGTGCAGATACAAATACTTAACTTCCGATGGTTTGCCTCTTTTACCAACGGAGACCTTATACGGAGAGTGCTGTTAGTGATGAATGGAAAAGGGCACTTATAATATTTTAATCCACTCATTGCATATACGAATCGCACCGCGCAGTATGTGTTGATGCATTTTCGATTCAGGTTCAAGTGTGGGAACGCCAAGGAGAACAAGAAGAAGATGAATCTCTAGGGTGTCTTCGCAACCGTCGCCTCACGGAGTTGCGAAAAGCGGCTGCAGGCAAGATGGTAGAAATAATCGAAAAGGTTTGTACAACATTTGATTTTTATGTTGAATTACTGAGTTGCCTCTTAAAGGGCGCGTGTAGAACAGCGGTTGGAGGTTTCCTACAACACACACGGGATCGATCCCCGTGCCTAAGGCTTACCAAGCCTTCCATTCATGCGGGGTCGGCAAATTGGTACCAGACTTGTCTGGGAAGATAGCTCCACTCGCTCGATATATCGGTAGGCCTCCGCGAGTCATTGTAAAGGCTAGATATGCATTCAGTCCCCTCCAATTATGCTTAATGAAGTCGGATATATGGAGCATTTCTCAGGAATTGATCAACGTCGGGAGCTTTATCCTTTTTATCACTGAGTAGCAGTGGTCTAATTTTTCTTTACTTTTCTTCTTGTTCTTATCCTGGAAACCATTTGCAGTTCCTTTTTTCAAGTATAAAAATTATAGGAGCAATTTTTAAAAGCTATAGAGACTTGCGATTGCTTGATTTGTGTTTTGATTTACAAGCCCAACGATGAAATGTGCGAAAGAGCGACCCACGTTTGCAAGGTTAGTTCTCAGTTTTCTTAATTCAAGAATTATGCGAATCCTATGCTGCTGACTCTTCCACTTAGATATGTGCAAAATAGAATCGTATATTAGCATGGTCTATTTTTTGGCTGCACGCACTGTTGATTAAAACCACGTTGTTGGCTCGGCCTGTGAATCTCCCCACCATCACTGCTTCAGAGTGCGGAATCGAACCAATGACTATTGCAGAACAGCTATAACCACGGTTCATACACTTTTTTTTAAACAAAAAGGCGCAGGAAGCAGGTTTTCTTGGACGACGACACATTTTATAACATCAGTTATGGGTTGGGTATAACTTGAATACAAAAATCATAGCGTGAGATCCTTGTGCAGCAAGTAAACAACTTCGAAGAAGTAGACTGGTATCGGTTCACCTATGCCGATTTGCTACTCCGGTGTTTCGGCGGAGATCGTCTCACGTTGAAGCTCCGAAAAAAAAAACTAAGTCGCTGTGATGGATCACTTCGGCTAATCGTGTTTGGTTTACAAAAAGCATCTTCACAGCATCAACCATTCTTTTTGCAGAACACTTATTGGAATATAACAACAATAATGCTGAGATATTTGCAAAACTCCGGACCATAAGTGTCTGCGATGGGGATCGAAGACACTACTACCCTTTTCGTGGGTAGTAGTGTATTCGGGGTTCACCACCACACCACATACTGTTTCTTAGATGTCGTAAGGGATCACGCGTCAATAGGATTGGTCTAATGAGCACACATTGGCGTTGAACCCAGTTAAGTTAAAGCTATAATATAAATCACAATGTGGTGTGAAATAGCTGAGAGAAAGGCGAAGAGAAGGACCCGCTTGGTGTGGTGGTGAAAACTTTAGTCTCCTGAAGGGTTGTAAAGTGTTCATTCGCCACCACAGTCACCTGAGGTTCGGAGTTTTGTAAACATCTCAGAATCATTGTGGTTATATTTCACATCTTGCCTTCCCAATAAAAAAGAGTAGCCACTAAGTAAAAAAAATAGATGTTTTATTGTACCTTGGATCAATGAATTCACTAGGTTATTAGTGAAAGAAAGAGTATCGTACTCGTTTTTATGATATACGCATAACTGAGTTTGCTTTTGCTAGAAATACATATTATCTTTAACATTTTTGTTCAAAACACCTTAGAATATCATGTACAGGTTCTCGCAGCGGATTATCCATCTGTGAGATTCGTAAGGGCCAGTAGTACATTGCTTGAAATGAGCAAAAGTTTTGTAAGTTTTTGATATAAGCAGTTTCAAATGTACCGAAGGTTGATTTTGTTGTTGACTTAACTATTTTTTTAGTCCGACAAAGCGCTTCCAGCGTTTCAGTTCTATTTGAATGGTAATTTGGTTGGAAATTTTATACAAATGTCATCAATGTTGGGAGGTGAAATTGATGTTTCCTCTGTGAAGAAATTCTTTAAAAGGTAAGATCTTTCGTCTGGAAGTTCGTTTTCCATCCTGTTATATGTTTTTTGGATGATTTTTGCTAGGGTGCATGCTTATGTCTTATTTCAGACAACATATTGACCTGGTTCATGGTACATACATAACCGATTCGGAGCACTCAACAGATGAGGATATCAACTGAGTTTTTTTTCCATTTTTTAACGATCGAAACTCTCATGGCCAGAAGCCCTCGTGTTAGCCCTTCTTAGTGCATTAGTAACTTAATGCTCTACCTAATATCTGTTGTTCATTTGTATTTTATATTTTTGAAGTTTCACAAACCATTCGATTCACATGTTCCAGTCATCTAGTCGCCAATGGGGGTCTCTCTTGCTCCTTAGTTGTAATTGTCGAAGTCTGTATTTTTTTTTTTTGGCTGAAATAAGCTAAACGATCTCCTTTAAATGTTTCGTCGAATGGAGTATTTAAGGAGTATAGAACTTCGCATATTTGTAGACAGGACTTTGTACTGTCAAACTATGTATATGGTTTTTATAAAGGTCCCATCAAAACCTTCCTGAAGCCATTTTTACTTTGGTCAGAATTTCTTAGGGTAAATGTGCTACTACCTGTGTTTCTCATTATGTGTTGTATAAAAAGTGTGCAGCCTGAATGGTCTCTACCCAATGCAGGCGTTATGGCCACAGAAATAGAGGATACGAACGGAGCCATACCTATGGGTGTGTTATTGGCTACGAAAGGTACTGCTGGTGATCGTTTGCTGTTCTTGTATCCGCCATCACCATCAAATGTTGGTGGTAAGTGACGTCATCTTATCTGTTTAGTTATTTGCATGACTTGATGTAACACTGCCCAGGATCCCAGCATGTCTTTTCTATCCGTTTAGCTTGCTTTTCTGCTTTTCTCCCGTCCGTCACCAGGTGTTCAGATTCTCATGTGAGTTCGGTTGCAGCATGAGAATTTGGTCGTCCACATGAACATGCTTGAAGCTGGTCGATTAGATTCTAATTTTGCATCTTTGCAAGAGTACATCGTAGTGCACTCATGTCTCATAATTTTTCAAACGGGGATGATTTACTCTAACCATCTTCGTTGGGAGCATTCCATGTGGCTGACGAATAAGCTAATAGGAAAAACAGTTTTTTTTTTTTGGAAATAGTATAGTGCAGGAAGTCTCTTTTTGGAGAGCTTCTACAACGACAGCAAATGAATACAGAATGTGTGGCAGAAAGCTCTGCATATTTGATCGCTGGTTTGGTTCTGCCTTCAGGAGACCCATTCCAGGATCAGGAAGTTGATTCGTCTGGAGGGATTGGAACTGATTGATTTGATACAACGGTTGGCTCCTGCAATAACTATATAGGCGAAATATGCGTTCATTCTCTACATTTATTATCCCATCGATACCGACCTCTACTTTTGCTAATTTTATGTGGCCTTCAAATAAGACGACGCATAATTTCATGTCGTTGTAGAATGACTGCTTTTTTCGATAATTTTTAACTAAGGGTTGTTGAATAAAATACAAGGGTAAAACTCCTAATCAATCCCTGAGGGATGCTCCATGCATATGACTTCATAAAGCATTGTTGGAGGTGACTGAATGCATCTGACGCATACAAATGGATCGCGGTGGCCTACCGATGTATCGAGACAGCGTTTCTACCCTCTCAGAGAATTCTGATACCAGTTTGCCGACCTCAGAGCGATGGAAAGCTTGGTGAGCCTGGGGCCCGGGACCAACCTCTTGTGTATTGCAGAGCGAATCTAACAACTGCACTACACGCGTCCCTAAGGGTTAATAACATGCCAAGATTATAGGGGGAACACTGTTCTATTGCTTTGTTGGTATGCGTAGTATACAAAATACTATCCGCTATGTGTTAGACGATGGTATACCACACAACGATAATTCTGTCACCACTTCGAAGTGCTTCGGAAATTTCCCATACTCGCGCTTTCCTTACATTAACCATGATTAACTATAGCGATTGAAATTTTAACAAGTGAATTCTCAGTCAAAATTTCTGAGTAACAAACACATTTAGGAAAAGTTGTTTTTAGAGTTATGAGTGCTTTTCTGGTTGATGTCCTCCACAACATAGATTTTGGATAGGTTGTCGAATGAATAAGTAAGGTGAACAGAAAGATCTCTATCAACTGAAATACGCGGTCGAAAAGAAAGTGGTTAACCAATGAAGCACTTCATCGCCAATCCGTTAATGAGGTGGAGTACATGGAGCACTGCTACGTGCTTGAGTAACTCCGTCGGCTTTGTACGCATCTTTGGAGCAAAGGGAAAAGTGGGAAGAAGATTTTGAAGTCAGTGATATTGACGTCAATGTATGTGCCTAGGTATTGACAGCTTTTAATAAGTTGTTGAGTATGAAAGGTCTTAACAGTGACAGGAAGCTTAAAGTCTTACAATGTTTCGAGGTGCAATTTTATCAACCGGAGTAAAGTGCACTAGGATGAGTACACTTCTGCCAGCGTGCTAGAAGTTTGGAGACTTCGCCTACATAGAAGTTGTAACCTGTGGATCCGATAAGGCCATTAAGTGCTTCATTGTCTGTTAATTGCCGAGTTGTTTTCCTCGTGGTAAGTTGTTCAGACGTTTGGAAAGGAGATCACTCCTGGGTGATAGGTGAAAGAGATACAGTGCATGAAGGATACTTTTTTCCTTCAACCGTTCCTGCCATTATTGCACACTCTTATGGAACTCATAAAGGCTAAAAAGCTGTCGGCGTTGATAAATTCCTGAGGGATGCGCCATGCGTTCGACTTGATTAAACATCGTTAGAGGTGATTGAACGCATATGGATAGAAAGCTTATTGAGACTTAGGCGCCGGATTGATCCCATTTATACTGCACGCCTCTGACCAGTGCGTCACACGCGGACCTTTGTGTAACATTTGGGTTGTTAAGGTTGTGTGGTGAGTGAATTTTGAGTTTAAGAAGAATCTACTGGAATAATAGCTCCAATAGCAGATGTCGCAGTTTTCTCGTTTCACATTTCAGCCAAGTCGTCAGAAAGTGCTGCTAACACTTTGGTGGACTCCATCTCGAAAACTGAGCGTGATCCAAGGCTTAGATCATCTGGTTTGTTTAGCATGTTCCGCAATTGTTCCAGACATTTTCTTTTTTTCGATTGGTTTTCCAGTGTCTTTTTCAGTTCCTACTGCATCTACTCAGCTGCCAGTTCTTATGACAATACAGTCAGTTTTCATGTAGTCACTCTTCTGTTTCGTTCTAATGTTGTATTCTTGTTTTACTTACGTAATTCGATTACATATTGCGCGTATACCAACAACTCTTTCCTTGGGTTTATTGTCTAGCAGCTGTCATCCAAAAACGCGTTCGGATTTCCGCGTGCGTTGAGATGCAGATTGGGGCTTGAGCTTCATTATGAATGTCCTTGAGTGTTGGTGGAGTTGATTCTTTGGAGAATCCTGGGATAGCTACACTAGGGCATTGGTAGATCTTCACCGTAGGCAGTTGGCGTTTATTGATCCGAAGGGCTTTCTCCAGATCAGTCTGGTACGAATTTCTTCACCGGAGAAGGATAGCAGGAAGTTTGGCCGTCCTCGACGTGGTCGAGCGGGGTGCATATCTTGCACAGCATCTGGAACCACTTTACTTTCTGTACAATTTGTAATTTATTTTGTGTCTTTTCTTTTGAAATTAGTTCTCTATAGTTTGGTTTTGTAATTCATCCTAAAGGGCGCGTGTAGCGCAGTGGTCAGTGGTGCCATGCAATACACATGGGATCAATCTCGGTGCTCCAGGCTCCCCAAGCCTTCTATCCCTCCAAGGTCGCCAAATTGGTGCCAAATTTGTCTGCGAGGAGTGCAGCACTAGTTCGATACATTGGTAGGCTACCCTGATTCATTGTAAAGGTGAGATATGCATTCAGTCACCTCCAACGATGGTTAATGAAGTCGAATGCGTGGCGCATCTCTCACAGATTGATCAACCGCGGGAGCTTTATGCTTTTTTAAATTCGTCCAAGCCGTATTCTTTTGTCCAGCATCATGTAGAGTTCCTTTAAAATGTAACAACAGTTTTTTTTGAAATTTTGTATAAGTTTTTTTTTCAACTACCTGTTTCCTTTGTTCTAGGAATATGAAGAAATCAGGAGAGATGTCATTTGCAACACAATTTATGTGAGTAACAATAACCTTCCTTCTGAAGTACTTATTGTTCATCCCTGCTTTTAAATTTTCGTCTATTCGTTAACCATTATTGTTAACCCAGACTCTCAACTTGTATGCTGGCGAACATCCTTAGCGTGAAGGATTCAGCTGTCGACGCACCGTTTGAGTTAAAAGTCGACAATGTACGATTTGCAGGGCATCCTAAAAAGGTTATACATTATTTATACAGGCTTCTAATGAGTTTAGCAATACTTGGTTCATAATTTATTTCGTTGTGCTTTTAAAATTTCATAGTAGTTTTTTAGAAGTGTTCTCCAGCAGCAATGAAAGAACAGTCCATCCATTAATAATACATATACATACTTACCTTGATACGTGGATGGCCTATCTTCACTGGTTATGCGAGGTCCAGCATAATTTTCACTTTTTGGAGTTTTGTTGGTTTAGCCATTGTGGTTTCCTGGAGTCCCTAGGTCAGCCTAACCAAAGTCTGCCCCAGGTCTTGGCACCCACAGGCAGTCGCCGCAATTGTGGACCAGAGGGAGATTTGCCATCTCGCGACTAATTTGATACTAGGACAGTGCTGGATCTTGGAATTGGTTTACTCTTAGTTGAGCTTTCTGATGAAAATGCCAGACTCCTCAGCTTAGGAGACCCTCCTGGTGGCTAGGAGATGAATCCACTGTACCTCGCAGACTGACACATAGGAACGCCTCCCAGCCACAAGGAGGCGGTAAACCGTTGGGAGAACATATGGCCATAATAAATAAAATGACGAATACGAAATATGTGGCTTTTTATGGTTTTGATTTTCTGAACCTAATAGTAGCCTGCTGTGTCTGCGTGGCTAGTGGTGTATTTGCGAAGATATGTCAACATATTTAGGCGAATTTTTTTTTTTGAAATATTGGTTTGCTATAGCGGCAGTTGACCACTCATTTCGTTTTAATGACTTAAAGTGTTAGACCAGTAAATTCTGTGATGCTTAGTTTAATAGAAATTAGTGCTCCAGATATGATACACTCT